AATCATCGCGATTTGCACCTTAGGTAGTTCGTCGCACATTTGATTGACTTCGTGGACTTATGTCAGCTTGTCGTCTTCTCGGCATTGTAATGAACTTCATAAAACGACAAAGAATTATTTTCACAGTCAATCAAATCTGTAAATTTTGTCTTGAGAATTTTAAAATATTGAAAACTTCAAATTAAATCCTGGAATAACGGTAAAGTTTGAAGTTTTGTCGAAACCAACAAAGTGAACATAGGTAAATAGAATGGCAGATCAAAATTAATAAGACACTTTCGCAATGCGTAACTAAATTCACTCTAACGAACACTTTTCTTAAAGTAAACGACGTTTTTTGTTACGAAAAAACAAACAAGGACTTCAAATGCAATAATACTTTTCACAATCGCACGGAAGAAATAGTTTTGTATGACACGTCAGTCAAACGACAGGTCCGTCAGAAACGCCAACTATTCAAATTCATTCGAAGTGGCGATTCCCATGCCAAATTTTTAATTTTTTTTTATCTTTTAGCCGTCTTATTTTTTATAAATTTTCTTACATGTAAACCTTGTCCTGACAATGAGGAACACGTAAAAAAAAGAATCGTCCAATTCGGTGCAGCCGTTCTGAAGTTATGAGCGTACATACATTTCGGCGATTCATTTTTATTAATATAGATTAGTTTTTGACATTAAATTCTCATAGTCTAAGAGCCAGTGGCCGGCTACCTGTATGTAATTGACCAGACCTCGAATTTTGTACAGAGAGTATCCTCCATCCAACATACTGGCGCAGCTGGAGCTCAGGTATGCCAGGTATCAAAAAATGACTAATTTTAAATGCATTTGACCACGTCTGCCATTTGGAAATTTTAAAATATATGTTTATTTTTATTAAAAAGTAACCATGGCAGACCATTATCACGCGTCGTAACATCGTGGCAGACAATTCTAAAAGTGCCAAAAAATATAAAATTTTCAAACTAATTTTGACCAAGTCTGCCATTAACATATTTTGTTTATTGTAGTCTTAGAATATTATATTTATCACGGCAGACGTTTTTATTGAGTATACACTTCAGCAGATAACAAAATCTTAACTACTACCCGAGCAGATATATAAAAATGACGCATTATATCTTACATTTATTTCATCTGCTTTGTAATTAAATTTATTGTTGTTTTTAAAAATTGATATTTCTGTAGGAATTCACATATCGTATCCGATAACTCCTGTACCTCTAGCTTTATGTCATTTAGATGGTAGTATTTTTGTAAAACAGTCAAATCCGTACTTTCTAAATGTCTGGAACCAAATATTGATCAGGAACCACCTCACAATACAGATGCATTTTTAATTGATGGGTTTTTCATTCTTCATTCTATGAAGGAAGTACCAAAAACATTAGAAAATATTTCCAAAAAATTTTTGCAGATGATAACAAAATATCTAGCACGAAGAATCGACGTAATTTTTGCATCCATCTATAAAAGACATAGAAAGAAGTCTACGACATGAAGCATCGTTAATTGACTTCACAATTTCTGGGCTTGACCAGGTACGACCATCAGATTTTACAAAAGAGAAAAAAAATACGAAATTTAAAAAACCTCTCATTTAATTTCTTTATTAAACATTAATGTAGTGATGAACTGGTATGTATCATTTGTCGGTAATCAACTGATACATTTGAACTTTCGAAACTGTCATTCTTATCGAACTGTTAATGATATTATACAATCAAATATCAATTTTTAAAAACAACAATAAATTTCATTTCAAGCAGATGAAATAAATGTAAGATATAATGCGTCATTTTTATATATCTGTTCGGGTAGTAGTTAAGATTTTGTTATCTGCTGAAGTGTATAGGTACTCCATAAAAACGTCTGCCGTGATAAATATACTATTTTAAGACTACAATCAACAAAATATATTAATGGCAGACTTGGTCAAAATTAGTTTGAAAACTTATATTTTTTGGCACTTTCAAAATTGTCTGCCACGATGTTAGACGCGTGATAATGGTCTGCCATGGTTATTTTTTAATAAAAATAAACATATATTTTAAAATTTCCAGATGGCAGACATGGTCAAATGCATTTAAAATTAGTCATTTTTTGATACCTGGCGTACCTGAGCTCCAGCTACGCCAGCCGCGCTGGGCTTAGTGAGTCCTCAGTCCTTGTATGTTGGATTGAGGAGACTCTCTGTACAAAATTCGAGGTCTGGTCAATTACATACAGGTAGCCGGCCACTGGCTCTTAGACTATGACTGTTAGGATGTTTAACTCATTTTTTGCGATTTGGCGCTTAGTACGTTTTTGGTTAACATCGTTCATATATTGGTAAGAAAGAAAAAATGGTATCATTTTCTTAAAAACATTTTCCCTCTCTCCTCAAGTGCAATCAAACAAATCCAATAGTTTTAAAAAAATATATAGATAATGATGAGAGTGTAAGAAAAAAAATTGTCTAACGAATTTAAACAGCATTTCTCTCGCTGACTCCATGCCGATCATGTTTCCTTTTCACCAGACGGGACATTTTAATAAAGTAGCTTAGGCTCGGGAAATAAAAATATGATCGTTTGTAGTTTTTAGAGATTCTTGTAGAGGTTTGTGGTGACCGAATTTGAATCAAAATTTCGCGCTGAAAAACAGCGGCGCGAAATCACATTTGAATAATTTTAATTTGAAAAAAAATTCAATTCAAAACCATCGTTAAACATAGGCAACCATGTGCACGTTAGCGCTTTTGGGTAGTGTGTAGAAATTTTAGTTAGAGGGTTGTTAGAAGAGGGCGGCTTGGTAGAGTGGTGAAAGCGGCATTGTAGGTTTGGTTCTGTGTGTGAAACCATGGTGAAAAGACGCGGTGAGTAGGTTAAGTTTAGTTGGCTTGGTAGTTAATAAAAGGGAGGAAGCATTTGTTTAACGAAAATTAATCGTAACGACGACGACGCCAGTTTTCCCCAACACGCGTAGCTAATTCTTGCGCCTTTCGAAGCGGAAAAATGCGAATTTTCGACCGACGCTAACACGTGTTGTAAATTTGTTTTATTGTTTGTAAATTCACAGTTTATGTTAGGATTTTAATCGGTAACTAAGTTTAACACAATTTAACGGTCCTGAGATTTGTTTAGATAAAGTACTTGCTAGGAGATTTTATGAGATTCAGTTGGTCAGGACTCAACATTTGTTTACAAAGTTATTAATAAGTTTCTGGATGCTTATACTTAAGTGCTACATTATAACACTTCTTAATTCCTCACACAAGATCGCTAATAGTTCATTCACGGCAGTTAAATCAACCTAACGTTATACCATGCTGGGAAGGGGACCGTGAAAGTGTAGTGCTCTGGGAAAGGGACTGTAAAAGTGCAGTGGAATTCATATTATCGTGGACTGAGGTACAAGGGGATTATAAATTTTTCAGCTTTACGCAGTTATGATCGTTATTATCATATCACCATCACATCACCCAGACCTATTATTAAGCATGCAGGTTTTGAATAGAAGTCAGGGACGGTCGAGAAGACGTGACGCTGTCGACTTGACCCAATAGTCGACACCCAACCACGAGTTTGCAGCTGCAACGGCCTGCCCGTACAGCATGTTCATCATGCAGAGGTGCTGTGCGGCAGTGCTTGCGATAGATACCTCACCGTCGTGGGTAGAACACCCTATGGGTAATTTTGTTGTGCTCTACAATTAAATTGAGATAGCCGCTGCACAGTTTTTATTAAAATTTTGTTCTCTTGTTGACCGCCATAATTTTAAATTTACCGCCACACGTCCGAAATAAGTTGTGTATTTGCATCCAGTTACTTTAATTCAGTTTTTTTTCTTTGTTTTTATTCAAAGTTTGTTTTTTTTTTGTAGCTGAGCGTTAAGCGGTGTCTTCAACGGGCACAACTTAGTCGCAGCTTTTTTTTGTCAGTGGAGGGATAAATAGGTAATTTTATGCCCTCCATATATTTTGTGTTTTATTGTGCGGTACTTTTCCAACCTTGGGGTCTACCACTTGCATCTGAACGCATTCCGCCACAAAAAAACACAACGTGGGGTTTCATTTTGTTAGACGATCACAGCCAAGGCCAAATTTTGAATTTTTTAATTTTTCGCGGGTTTTCAATTTTTCTTTCACATGTCAATTTAAGGCGGGATATTTGGGATTACCACAATGTCTGTTGTATTTGTAGGAATATTTATTGCATTTGTAATTCTAACATCCTGCATATGTGAAAAATGTAAATAATTGTATCAAAAAAAAAGCCGACTGTTTCGCGCCGCTGTTAAATTTTTTTCAGCGCGAACTTTTGATTCAAATTCGGTCACCACAACACTGCGCAGATCACGTGATAGTGATAATAGTCCCTTTCGTTTTGCACCAAACTCTACATACGTAAAATTCTGAAATGACGCCATCACATTCTTAATAGGAACGACCAGACAAATTTTGCTTAACGTTTTGCCATTTATTTTTTTTATATGATACTTCTAACATATATATTTCCTACGTATAATGAACACACATAAAATTTAACAAAAATTGGTCCGGCAATCTCGGAGATCATCTGTCTAACAAAAATCGACACAAACAGACGACGGAGGAACAATTTTTTCATACTTTTGGGGTCATGAAACGTCGAAAAAATATTAAAGTAGCCATTCGCCGGAAAAATGTAGAAATAAAAAAAATTGTCATAAAACGCCAAAACAGCAGAACTGAAAAACTTCTTTTATTTCTGTTTAGACATTTGTGTAAACTAATGCATATTTTAAATTAATGGAAATATGTATTTCATAACACGAGCAGCAGTATACGCAATCTCTATGTAGTTTGAATCAACCACAATCACGTGACAAACGATGTGATTTTTTAATCAATTTTATGTTTTATCTACTGTATATAACTACATAGATACAAGAAATTGCCACAAAAACTTCACCGGTCGCTGCAGTTATTACGTGTATTTACGAGCCTTTCACTCGACTAAACAAGCCCCTTCTTACCTGTACAGAAGCGCAACTCAAAATCACTTCAGCAATTGATAGCGTTCCGTCGCCAACTTCTCCACATTTCGAGAGTACATCGACTTCAGCACAAACGGCAAGGCAAGTCCTACACCTCGCTTGAAACCCCACAAACAGCCCATCCCTTAAACCACCACCAGCCATTGTTCCAAATGTCAACACAATCGTGCACATAATAACCCAAACGTCCCTTGTCATTCCAATTTACTTTTAATTTTTTAGGAATGTGCAACTGCAACAATGTCCGTTTCGGAAGTCACCCAAGCCCTAATTAAATGCGTTAATTTCGCTGCTGAGAAACACAAGGACCAGCGCCGGAAAAACCCCGAAAAGACTCCATACATCAACCACCCCATCGGAGTGGCCTATATTCTTACCAACGAAGCGAACGTAACAGATCTGAACATTTTACAAGCAGCTCTTCTGCACGATACAGTAGAAGACACAGAAACATCGTTTGATGAAATCGAGGTCGCTTTTGGAAGTGAGGTTAGAAAAATTGTGGAGGAAGTCACGGATGATAAAACGTTGGCAAAGGAAGTAAGAAAAAGGTTGCAGATAGAACATGCTCCGGGATCGTCTTATGAAGCTAAGCTCGTAAAATTAGCAGATAAGTTGTATAATTTGAGAGATTTGGAGATAAGTGCTCCAGTGGGTTGGAGTGAGCAGAGGGTAAATGAGTACTTTGAGTGGAGCAAAAAAGTCGTTGAGGGGTTAAGGGGTACAAATTCTGCTTTGGAACGAAGTTTGGATCAAATATTCTTGCGGAGAAACATTCTAACGGTAAATAATTAATTCTTTTGGAAATAAGAGTTAAGCTTTGGTACTTAACATAATCTCACTTGGAAGTGAAAATTGAAAATATATATTTACTTTGTAAAATGATTTAATTATTTTGATACTGTGTATGCTTTTTTGTTATTTTTCCCTATTGTATATGAATTAAAAAACATGTAGGTATCCGCTTTTCAATAATACAGGTAGGTCATCCTTAATCAATTAATGTTGACCATATTTAAACTAGCGTCCCGTTACTGAGGTAAAAGTATCTCCAACAAACCTGACAAATAAATGACTTCCTCATGAAAAATTACTATTTATTTAAAGACCAAAATAATATCGTAAATAAAATTAAATCACAACAATATATACAAAAAAATCCATCATGATTAGATGCAGTCAGTTTTAGAAATTGAACAACAAGGAATGTTGCACAATAAATTAAATAAATAACAAGTATTTGACAATATTTAAGACAATATTAACTAAACACGTTTTGTAGATCTGGTATAACTTCTTTTGGTTCAGGCTTTTTTGAAAATGCTAAACTGGGTAGATCATGAATTTTAACCTCCTTCTTGAAGAGCTGTCCCATACTTCTTCCAATCAACTACAAAAAGAAAAATCAAACCAAACCACAATGCGAAATTAAACTCACATTCCCTGTAATTTTCTTAAACAAATCTTTCTTAACCTTTTCGACTTTATTTCCCTTGCTGGTACTCCCCGAAATCCTCTCGTCCAACTTTTGCAAATCGACAGGATTTACGCCGGGAATTTGTTGCATCACTCCAAGAACTTCGAGAAAAGTAGGCCGCAACATTTCGTACATTTGTGCCCCGAGAGTCAACAACGATCCTTGGTTGGCTTCGTGTTGACCATGTAAAGTTAAAGCGTTCAAAACAGACGCCATTATATGTGCTGCCATCTCTCCATTTAACGAGTTATCAGAAACTAGCTGTCTCACTATAGGTCCTGTTAAGTAGGTAGCTTTTAATGAAGCGTTGCTATCGATCCACGAGAGCGCCCCCAAGACTGCCAATACTATGGACTGACAAGTTTTTTCGCTTCGAAGTAGTACCAAACCTGCGGAGCAAAAACTTGTAGAAAAAACTAATACACAGTGTATAAATAACCTAAATCTGAAATAACTTCAGTCGTCATATTCGAACGAGTTGGTGGCGGTGGTGTGGGCGAGTCCATACTCAGATCTTCAGTTTCCATATTTTCCGAGCTTGATTCAGGAGTAAGACCCCCTCCAACTAGCGCCACCTTTAATACGTCTAGATATTCACGAGTTAGCGCTCTTGTGAGTATGTCTTCTAATACTTCTTGAGTGTCGGCATTGTCTTCTTGCGCTTCCCTGTTGCGAAATTCGTTGACTTGTAGCCACTTGGTGTGAAGTCGGGACAGCACTAAAAACATGTAATGTTGAATTAATCAAAAAGCAAAAACAACTAAGCCGTTCCTCTTCAATGCAGTACGATCATTGTACTATTAGCTATGACGTGAAACATTTTCCAAAATTATATGAAACTGGACTGGGACCCAATAAAAAAGGCGTCGTCATAGACTAATGACACGCAGACATGAAAATAATTCATTAAAAAAAGATACTTACTCAAAGGAGCGATATGAGCAATGATCGGCAGAAGTACCGCCTCGTAAAATGGTGTAGGGCACGAATATATAAACGGCTTCAAAAACACTCTTATAATAGGTCTCATCCTGTAATCCGGTATATACTAAAACAAACCACATCAAAACCCTATATCCCCCCACCACAACCCACCTCACCTGCAAACAAGCCAACACACTATTGATTATTGCTAATCCTATATCCGGCAAGGTGTACAAATCCCTGCCCAACGAAGGCCCCATGGATCCGATCATGTGATAGCAGCTCTCGTGCAACCCGAACAGGAACCTCTGCATCCTCTCCAATGGACTCTGTACCACCTGTGCCTCCCCCAGATCAGCCGCCGCGTGCCCGATCAGCCCCAGCAAGTTCGACTTCTCCGTCTCGAGCATGCCCAGGCAGCCCTTGTAATTCTCGTGGATGAGGTTCTGAGCTTCGCACGTGAACAGTTCGTTGAAGATGCGGATCAGCGAAAGGAGGTCTGGCAGCAGCGGCACGACGTGAGGTGCCGCCGGGTTGCGGCAGACCGGGTTGCCGGACTCTGTGAGGGCGACCACAAAGCCGCCGCGCGTGGCGCGCTCGGGGTCTTCCGGCCAGGAGCAGCGCTTGATAGCGCCCAGCAACAAGTTCACGCAGAAGACGATGCTGCTACGGTTATGGCCGTGTGGGTTCTCGGTGTGCGGAGCGACAGGCGGCTTGTCGAGACCGACGAAGGAGATTAAGTCACCAGCGCTCTTGAAAGCCCCGGACGAGACGATGGCGCGCCACTGAGCATTGGCCTGGAAAGGAAAGAAGTGTTTCAGATGCTTCATTACGCTCGATCAGGCGATCAAAATAATTTATAATCGAGTCATCTTTGGAACAGAATCCGTCGTATCTTCTCTGAAATAATATAATTAATGCTATTTTTAACAAAATTAATTTTATAATAATTTATAAACCTAATAAAATCATTACAATCTCACTGTAACTTTAATAACTGCTACATGAAACCATGGCCGACTAGTATAAAGATTATGGCCTGTCCAAGAGGTACGATACGTGTTGCCATCTATTAATAATTACACTTAATAATTTAGCAAAATTTTAATTTGACTTGACATTATGGGACTTCAAAACGTGTAATGGTGGTTTGTTTGGGTATGAATGCCTTTGTGCCTTTCAAAAGGTGTTAATAATTCTTTTGTCAATTTTGAATTATTAATAGATGGCAGCACGTATGGTACCTTTGGCATTCCTTTGGACAGGCCATAATCTTTATACTAGTCGGCCATGCATGAAACGTTCCTTCTAACCTTACTTTTTTTGTTTTCTCACTTGTTGTTTCCTAGGAGAAACAATCTTTTTCACTAAAAACAGTTCTTTTCAGAACTTTATTTGGGTATTCGATTTAAGCGACTCCCGATGAATTATAGGAAGAAAACTAAAAGAGAAAGTTATTAAACACGAAATGAAACAACAACAAACATAAGAGAAAATGTGGAGAAAATTATAAAACTCAATAAACAGGAGACAGATATAAATAAAAAGTAGAGGAACATTAAAGATTCTATTTTAGCTTCAGGCATAGATAAACTGACAAACTACAAACTCCTAAAAAAGAATGGATGACAAAAAAGATCCTTCATCACATAGAAAAAAGAAGGCAAGAAAAGGGACACGGTATTCAAAACTATCGTGAAATTCATAGTTATAAAAAGAAAGATAATAGAAGCGAAGAACACATAAAAGGAGCAGAAGTGCAAAGAAATTGAAAATCTCATTATGACAAGAAAATCAGCTAAACTGAAACGATGCGATGGGAAGAATACATAAAGGAATTATTTTATGATACAAGATCTGACACAGACGACAGCAACACCAATAAGATGACAGAGGAACTCCTAATTACCCCCCAAGAACTAGAATTCGCACTATTAAAACTCTAAAGAGAACAAGGCAGTAGGTTCAGATCAAATTCCTATAGAGCTGATTAAGCTAATAGAGGGAGACCAAATTCAAGTACTAGTTTACTTATTTAATACCATATATAGAACAGGGACCATACCAGAAGAGTGGCTCAGATCAACCTTTATAGTTAATACTACCAAAGGGTGTTAATACTATAGAATGCTCTGAATATCGAACCATAAGTTTAATGAGCCATACCCTAAAACTGTTCTTGAAAATAATTCACCATGGAATTTGGGTTCCGAAATGGTATGGGCACCTGAGAGGGATTATTCGCCTTAAATGTGTTGGTTCAAAGGTGTCGAGATATGAACGTAGACGTTCACCTCTGTTTCATTGACTACGATATTGATAAAGTGCGCCAAAATCAGCTTATATTAATACTTAGAAAACAGGGAATCGAATATCGGATTGTAAAAATAATTGAAAATCTATATTGGAATCAAAAAGCGACTGTCAAAATAGAAAATGAAGAATCTAATGAAATCGAGATTTGCAGAGGGGTTCGAAAAGGATGCATTCTATCTCCCATGTTGTTTAACATATACTCAGCGGAGATATTTCGTTAAACCTTAGACAACATAAAGGCTGGAGTAATAATACACAGAAAATGTATTAATAACTGTAGATACGCCGACGATACAAATGATGCTGGATAAAATCAACACAAATACAGTACAGAAAGAGGCCTTAAAGTAAACCTCAAAAAGACCAAATATAAGGGGAGCCGTAAGAATCCAAAAGCTAGACAAACACAATTGAAGATCGGTGACACAACAATTGAAATAGTCAAAAAATATCAGTATTTAGGAACGACACTGAATGAAGAAAATGACCAGGTAAGAATAGACATAGCTCGATCAGCATTTATCAAAATGAAACATCTCCTAGTAAACAAAAGCCTAAATAAAGATCTAAGAGTGCGAATAATCCGATGCTACATATTCTCAATACTGCTGTATGGTGCGGAAGCCCGGACACTCAAACAAGTGAACATCAAAAAAAATAATGCTTTCGAGCTTTGGATGTATAGACGTATGCTCAAAATACCCTGGACAGATGAAGTTACCAACGAGACAGTCTTGCAGAGATTGGGGAAAGAAGAAGAAGTTGTATATCACACACAAAAAAGAAAGCTAGAATATCTGGGCCATATTATGCGAGGACCACGATATGAAATCCTTCGATTGATAATGTAAGGCCAAATCCAAGGAAAGAGAGATGTAGGACGAAGAAGAACTTCCATGGTTAAAAAATCTACGTGAATGGTTTCAATGCACATCAGCAGACTTGTTCAAAGCTGCGATATCTAAAGTGGGAATAGCAGTCATGATTGTTAACCTTCAGTAGGAGATGGCACGATAAGAAGAATAGTAGATACATTTGTTTATCTTAAAAATATTGGTGTTTAGGTTGCAATTACTCAACGACGGATAGTAGGGCCTTTATTCTTTGAAGGTAATCATAGCAATAATAATCATCTGATTAATTGGTTTATTTAATGTAATCCTCTTCGAGGTAAAGTAAGAACAGGGTTGGGCAAAATACACTTTCCACTGTAATTGAAATACAAAATACTTCAATTTAATGTATTTGAAATACAAATTACAAAATACATTTATGTCTTGTAGTTGAAATACAAAATACAAAATAGTATTTCAAATACTTTTAAAAATACAAAATATGTTCAGGACAGTGGCAAAAATAAAATTTTGATAGAAGCTCGTTCCTAAAAATTTTAAAGTTAACTGTCAGAATTCTTTCACTATCTTTATAAGTTGGCTCTGTATGTTACATTCCATGTCCATCTAGTGTCAATTTGTCGAAAGTAAAACGCGTCGTTAAAAATATTGTGACATTTCTTCTAGTTAATTTTATTCCTAGTTAGAACCAAACACTGCTGCCAACATAAATTGCGAAGTCCTCAACCGTCATTTAATTTAAACTATGGCGCTTCTCTATGTTCTCTGTTACAACCATAGAATATCCTGTTACTTCTCGAAGTACACGAACATACACGAATTAACACGATCGCAAAACTGTAATGAGCGCGCCGTAGTTTGATAAAATGTATTTCAAGTAATTGAAAATACAAAAATACAAGTTAAAATGTATTTGAAATACAAAATACAAAATACATTTGTGTCATGTATTTGAAATACAAATTACAAAATACAATTGTATTTCAAATACTGTATTTCAATTACAAGTAGTTCAAATAGTGCCCAACCCTGAGTAAGAAATGTTGACAGAATTTATACCACAACTTCACAACGATAAAATAGAAGTAGATTATTATTTTCAACAAGACGGAGCTACCGCGCACTCGGCTACGACCACAATAGAAATGTTACCAGAATTTAGTGTATTTAAATTTTCTGAGAAACATTCTGCCAATATTGTTAGATGAGGTAAATTTACAAGACAAAACATGTGGCTTCAACAGGATGGCAGTTAATGTCAAAACTCACAGACCGTACTGACAAACTTTTAGATATGCTTTACTATGCTTACATATATATTTATTAAAAATGGAATTTTGCATCTACATAGGCTCTGCAAAATGTTGTTGGTTGCTTCAAAAATTTTTTCAGGCTCATTATTCCTGGCGAATCACCCTGTATATTCAGTGGCGTACCTTGAATATTCAATTAAGGAGCTTAGTGAAAAACTTGGTAACGCCACTAAAAATAAGTCACCACTAGATTCCGTCAACTTGCAAGGCAGAATCAAATTTCGTTTCTACTCAGTATGCAGGTTTATTGTCGTGTACCTCTTACAAAAAACACCCTTATTAAAATTTTAATTACATTCGCAGTCGAATTCACAGTACGTGAATTAAAATTTATAATTAAAATGAAAATCCAATGAGATTAACCCATCAACCGGATTATGAGAATTTGATTGAATTTGATCAGACAATCTTTTAATTGCGAGATTAAGTGCATCTATAAACCGAGGCTTTGATTAATGACATTATATAGTGTCTATAAATGGTTCATATATTCAGCACTCCTTGAGAAATTTTATTATTTTTTTTTAATCAAACAATTTTGCCGCCTGTAAGAAAATATGTTCTTTTGGCAAACCTGAATAATTTATCCACTGTCAAATATTCCCTCCTGCTTTTATAAAAACAAGTGGAGGAGTATCTTATTTACTATTGTAAATTTTGCAGAAGATGTCAATCCATTGTTCGTGAAGTTGATTAGCCAAATTTTGGTTAGCGTTTTACAATCTACATGACAGTTCTAATATACGTACAAAATTTGACAACAATCTGTCCTGCAGTTTCAGAGATTATCTGTTTAATAAAAATCGACACAGACTGACGGACGGACAAGCAACGGTCAGATGGCAACGGGAGACCATTTTTTCGTACTCCAGAGGTCATTAAACGTCAAGAAAACATGAAAGTGACAAGTCGCCCGATGGACTCGATTACTATAGTTCCTTAGCGTACGGTCAGAAAGTAATAAATGTTTCAACACAGTTTTTGTTGAATGAAACGATCATTATAAAACTGGGATTTTTGCGACCACTGTAAGTAACAAATCTTTCTCGATTTTTAAAGCATGTAATACTTTCCCAACAATAGCTCTGGAGACCTACAGAAATTGTTCATAATTTTTAAACTTCTACAGAAAATTGCAGAAATAGTATATTACATATTGCGGTGAATTATAGTTCGAGGCTGTAAGAAACTTTCCGCCGAGGTATGTATACTATTTTATTCTCAATCATCTGAATACATTTTGCGAAAATCTTTTAAAAAAATTGTACATCACAATGTTTATTTTCATAAGTACAATCAAGTTACTCTGAACGCCTCGGAATAAAATTAGACTGACGTCTTGAAGGTGAAAAAATCTGATCAAGAAATATCATTCTATTAGAAAATGTCCGATTCAGAATTTTTAACATCTTCTGAATTAAAATATGCAGCAAACGAAGTTATGCAACATCTGCTCCTGGAAAAGAGCAACAAGAGGTACGAAAACGCCTACAAAATGTAGGTTCTTAGTTCATATTTATCATAGTAAATGCAAGTGACAATGCGAACATAATAATCATACAATTTATTGTTATTAATAGTTTATTAATAGGGATGTACCGACTAGTGGCCGACCGGTCGGATAAGCCGACTATTCGGCCGTTTTTCATCGTCGGCTGCAGTCGGCGACTGGTCGGCTAAACAGCCGATCGGTCGGCTTTTTTTATTAAAATTAAAATAGTATATAAAACAATTAAACCTCGTTTACAGAACCTCAATTAAATATTTAATTGCGATTTAATTACTAAAAAAAATTAAATGTTAAAATTATCCAAACAAATTTAACACATTTTTTGAAAAACAAAGAAACTTTAGTTATTCCTTTTATTAAAATAAAACAAATTTTTAAGGTAGTCAGAGAAATAAAAAAAAACACACTGTCTGTCTAATTTATAAACCGGTTTTAGCAAAGCCGAACAGTCGGCCGACTAGTCGGTTTTTACTGGCCGAACAATCGGCTAGTCGGTTAGTCGGCCAGACCTACAGTCGGTACATCTCTATTTATTAATAAAATTCAAAAATTAAGTGAGGTTCTTTTTCTCCTGCATGTCAAATCAAAGATGTCAAGAAAATATTAATCTAAGGCGGTAAAGTTAAAGCATGTTCAATTGTTGAACGGTCAAAGTCGGTGACCAACTGCACTCAAAACAGTATTCATTCATTCATTACTAGTGCGCGGAGTTAAATCTCAGTGCTACAATCCCCCAGTTGAAATAAGGCGTTTTACGGCGAGTAGACTTTGATCTAGTCTACAAGGACATCCCCAGTGCGTTTCTCTAGGAGTGTGTACGGTTGCTAAAAAACCTACTTTTTTATTACTGTGTTGCTTCAAATAGTAATATTTGGTGCCCTTTTTAATTTTTCAACCACAGGACCACAGATTTGTGATCTTAAAATGCTATATTGTGTTGATATAGTACAAAAGAAAAATACATTTTTGTAATCAAGAATCGACGCGGCAGCATTGGATTGAGCGCGTGAGATTTTATTCCGCGCCTTGTTCATTACACAACTAGATGTATCATGAATAGTTTTCCTAGTTACTAAAATTGACGTAATAATGTCATTATCAACGGGCGGAATAATATCTCAGACGCTCGATCCAGTGCTGCCGCGTCGATACTTTGATTACAAATATATCCTGTGGTTGAAAAATTATTAAGGGCACCGAGTATTATTATTTGAAGTAATATAGTAATACAGAAGTAGTCTTTTTTTACTAGCTGTAAACACTCCTAGAGACGCACTGGCTACGATCTTGTGGACCAGATCAAAGCGTCTCCGCTACTCGCCGTAAAACCCACCTTACTTCAACTGGGGAGTTGCAGCCGTAAGATAAGTTTCCGCGCACTGGTCATTATATATATATGATTGAGAATATACTATTAATAGCTTTTCTTCTAGTCAATCAAGAAGATAAGCTCATTATTTCTTTGGAACATTTTACAGGGGCGTTATTTAATTTACTATGACATAAAGTTTCTTTTTTCGCCGCATTATTTAAAACAAAAAATCATATCAATCATGCAGTACTTCTAACACACACAACACGAAACAACCTTACTCACCTCTCCTAAAACCTCCCGCACAAAGTTGCTCTGCCGATCGTAGTCACAGAAGTGATTCGAAATCAACAGCAACGCCTCCTGCAGCGTCACCCTCTCCAATGTACTCAACCCAGCCGGACTATCGACCCTCGACAAATTGTCCACGGTGGCCCTTATCTGATCGAACACCGGCAACAACAGCAACGGGTACTTGTTCCCGATCTTCACCATAAGCGACGCCGCATGCCTTCTCACGTTCTTCACGGCTCTGGACCTGTTCTCTTTGCTCTGTTCTTCCGGCGCGTAAACCAAGGTTGAAAATATTTTATCTAGAACTTGTGGCAAGAGCGCCGCCCCCGAAGCCGCCACCGAATTAGCAGTAGGCGCCATCTGTCCCGTCGACATGCTCAGGAACACGAAAAGGGCAGAAATGCAGGTGAGTAGAGTGGACAGAATGAGCGGATCGACGGGCTGGTAGGCCAAACACAATTGCAATAATCTCAAACCGGAAGCTATCGATGGTCGCTCTTGCGCTTGGAGAACTCTGCTTAGAATGCTTTCTAAGAACGTCGACAGAGCTTCCCATTCTTGGAATAAAGGATCCGACATGACCAACCCGGAAGTGACGTTAGGAACTTGTAAACACTTCATCAACCATTGTTCGACGTAGTTGAAGGTGACTAAAGGTGCGACGACCGTTGCTTGTCTGAACGAGTCCAAGAAATCGCTGCGACATCTGTAAAAGTACGTTGAAAACTCTTCCTCGCTGTCGAAGTCTACTTTAGCGTAAGCAGCTGCGGCGCCTCCTGCGTCTGTGCTTTGCGATTTCGAGGAGGGGTAGTTGAATTTGACGATTTTTGGGGCGGTGCACTGTACCCACTGAGGGATGTATGAGAGAAAAACTGGGTCGCGAGACACGTGCTCGTGTTTAAGCATGCTGTTCCAAATAGGGTTCGCCATGTGGGCTAAAGTTAGACTTTGATGACTGCTGAAAGCAAGTATGGCTTCTAGGAAGGCGGAGAAGTTACTGGGGCGGGTCATACCGTCTTTGCCCCAAAGCATACACAGTTGGGTTGTGAGACCACCTAAAACCTGAAATTAAATATTTAGATTAAAAACCGTTATCGATGTTACAAGCACCGAAAAATAAAAATGTAAGCATAAAAGACGTCAAGGTATCGCAAGGACAAATGTCTGAGTGACGCCTGTAAATGAGTTACAGTGTACGATTACATGCGAATAAAAACGAAACAGGATAATATGAAAGAATATTAATGTTAATGCATCGTCAAACCAAATAGCCAAATATGTTCAGTGGTTTTTTAATTTTTGAACAGCAGCTGCCAAGATAAGACTGATTTTGGCAAATGATATACCCTCTAAGAAAAGAGAGGGTGGGTGGGCGGGGGTAGAACCTGCTAAAATAAGACAAATTTAAAGGAATCTGGTGTTTTGTTGCTGGATGAGCTTGAAAAAATCTTTTGAGCTTTTATTGTTTTATTTTTTATGAATTTGAAAGTCTTGACTGCCGCAGTGTTTTTTTTTTAATTCGGGACGCCTGCTTTTGAAATCATTATGGGCTAGTAGCTACCAAGATAATATCTGATTTTGGCAAATGAGATACCCTCTAGAAAAAGTGAGGGCGGGTGGGCGGGGCTAGTACCTGCTAAGATAAAACTGATTTTGGCAAATGACATACTCTCTACGAAAAGAGAAAATCCGAGAAAACCAAGAAATTCAAGAAAGTTAAGAAATACAAACGACCTAAAAACTAGAATTTCAAGGCAGCCAAGAAGCCCAAGGAACCTAAGAAACCTAAACAATCTACAAATAGAAAAGATACAAAAGATGTTAGGGTCCTAAGGGGAGTATAAAATTCAACAAATCCAAAAAATTGAAGAAGGTAAAAAAGATTCGAAACATTTGAGATTTCTTCCTGAGATAGGGTCCTTCCGACGAACTGTTGCTTTCAGGTTTTCTCAACGTTTTATGAACCATAGAGTTCGAAAAAGTAGGTCACCCGTTTTCGTCTGCCTGTCGTCTATGTCAATTTTTATTAGGCAGATAATCTCCGAAACTATTGGATTGATTGTTTTCAAATTATATATGAATGTTACGAATATCGTGTAGATGATCAGAATTTGGCTAATCATCCCATCAGCAATGGGATGACGTCATCTTCAAAATTTACATAGTAAATATTATTTAAGCTTTATAAAATAAAATACTCCTGCGCTTGTGTGTCTAATCTTACGAAACGACGAAAGATAATACTGGTTTGAATGAAAATACTGAACTGCCGACGCAAATGATGAGCTGCTTATTGCAAGCAACGACGCGTTTCAGCATACACAAGAAAAAGCAACTAGAAAAAAAGAAAAATATGCAATAAGGACTAAAAGAAAATTATATTTTATTTTGATTTATTTATGTACTTTTTTAAGTTGTCTAAGACTAAAATACGTTCTTTTATTATTAAAAACTCTCCGAATTTGAAAAACTTTCCTTCACAAAAAGATTATTACTGTGTATGAGGTTAATTTGACAGAAGTCGATGCGACCGTACACTTTACAAAATCACTTCAAAAGTTTTGGATAAAAATACGTTACACAATTAATGCCATAAAGTGAGTCCAACATGGTCCATGTGTTAACTGTTAACTCCATCAAAGAAAATTGGGAATTTTAACATTACAATTAAATTATGCACATCAGTTCACCTCAAGTCAAGAAGTAGTTTCTATAAATACATAGAAATGTATCCGATTTTTTCAATTTTCAACCTTGCCCAAAATTGCAATTTTAATCAAATTCTATTTTCTAAAGTATGGTTTTCAAAATACTCTCGAAATCTTACAAAAGAAATGTCAATTTTGCAATGGCACAGGCCGTAAGAAAAAATTGGTTGAAATTTTTGACTTTGCGGATTTTGTTTTTTATGACAACCTTCATAAGTTAAAATATTTTATATAATGTTAAAGAAGCTTGCTACGCGTTTGTTTCAAGTGATTTTTTCCATTACAAAATTTTGTAATGATGTCATCAACATTTTCGCAAGGACACGTATATCAATTTTACTTCCTCTTGTCTTGTTAAAGCTCGTTTACTGTCGTCTGAACTAACTCGGTAAATTAGCCTTTACACGCACCCTGCCTGTAAAGCGTTACCGTGGCAGCTTTACAGGCACCTTGCCTGTAAAACGTTATCATGACAGCACCGGAATCAAACACACATTCGCTGCGTCGGCCTTTTTCTTAATCTCACTAATACTGTGCTAATACTAACGTTAAAATCACCTTCAAACTCTTCATCTTCATCGAATTCCACAATTAACAGAGCTCAGAAACAAAATTAAACTATTTAAATTATTAATCGAATTTACAAATTGACAGTCCCGTCATTTTCAAACAATTCAATTTTCCATAGTTACCGGAGCAAACTATGAAAAATAACTACAATTTCTATGACTGTAATTTCAAGTCAAATTTCTAGAGATGCCAAAGTTGTTCATTTTCAGGATTTTCAGCAAGAGGAAGTAAAACGTTGTACGCGGCTCGCTTGCAACTAGCCTTTACTCGTAGCGTCCTACGTCGCTCGCCCTGCAAACATTCCGGCTCGCCCGTAAAGGCTAATTTACTAAGCTTGCCACGTAAATAACTATAAATAGATGCAGTGTAATACTAATAATAACAGTACTTTATTCCCAAAATTTCGAGAAAATGGAGTGAGTCGTTCTTGATAATAAAATAAATTGCCTCATACGAATAAATTTTGATTAACGATTTACTATGATTGTGATAACCTTAAAACGTTTGCATTTACAGATTTCAGAGCACTCGGTTTTGCAGTTTCAAAATTAAATTGCAAAATTTTATACAATTTTGATTTTTTGTTTCCAAAAATCTGGATGTCTAGGGTGAAAAACTCAACACTGGTTCATACACCAGGAGTCTCTCATTTTAAAAATTTTAAATAAAATTGACCATTTTAAATTTTGGAAACTACGTCATACCATTCGTGATGGGAATGATTAGCCAACTTCTAGTTAGCTAATATACATACAAAATTTGATAACAATCGGTGCAATACTTTCGGAGATCAGTTTTAAAAAAATCAACACAGACAGACAAAGAGAAGGAAACGGGAGACCAGTTTTCCGCACTCTAAGGGTCATGAAACGTCGTGAAAACATGAAAATGGATAAATCGATGGACTCGATTACTATACTTCCTTGGCTTACATTCACGAAATAAAAATAAATTCTTCTAAAACAGCTCAGAAATATTGTTCACGTGATGTTGCACCGAAATAAAAATAGTTTTAAGATTATTCGGACAGTATAATCAAACAAATCCAGTTTTTTCGATAAATAATAAAATTTGCTTTTGTGTTTATATTTTGGGACAAAAGTTTGGAAAATGATTATCTAAAACCATTTTTTAGCAAGTATGCTTTCAAATAAAAAAAAAACTTTCTTAAGGTTAGTGCAAAATAAAAAAAAAATATTCCCAACTTACGACTGGCCAGTAAAAATAAATAAATATGAACAGCACTTACCTGAACAAGTTTCTTCTTAAACAAATAATGTTGTTCATCCAAAATGGCACCGGGATTTTTTGCAGCAGAAACCAAACACTGAATTGGTTCATCATTAAAAAGCAACAACAAGGGTCTTCTTTCATCAAGTTTTCCTTTTCTGTTCACAATCTAAAAGCAGACAATTTACATCAAAACCGTAGGTCTTCTTTAATATTATCAGAGCATACCTGAGATAAACATTCAGCAGCTGGATATTGGAAAGCTAAATCGTTCAATAATAAACACAGAATATGTAGTAATCGGCCATTTTGAGCCATAATATGAGACATAGACACCCACTCTACAAACCCCGTTAAAGTTAAGAGAACGACTTGAACCACCCGACCGTGTGCAGTTGCTTTGATCGTGTTGTTTGTTTCACCACATGTCCTGAATTGGTTCACATGGAGCTCAATTAATCGTAGAAAAAAGTCAAAAATTACGGCCATATTGGCCGTAAGGGCATGATAAATGTCTTTTCTTCGCTGATTTGATTCCAATGTCTGCAATATTTTACAAAATTATTTCTCAAATTTAGATAACCTTGGCAACAAGTTCTTCCAAATTTTCGGAAAAGAGTAGGTTCGGGAAGTTGAATTCTGATAAACTGACGCTATGACCAATGTTACAATAATGCACCAAAAATTGACGTCATCTCGAATATATTTTAAATAAATCTGTTTTTTTTCAATCTTAAATTTTTCTTTCTCGTGTGTAAGCTCCGTCTGTTATCTGTCCATTCTTCAAATTTTTAAGTGAATAACTCTGATCCATCAGGCTTCGAGGTGAAACACTCATTCTGATAAATTCGTGTTAAGGATTCCAGACAGCGAGGGAGAAACAGCCAGATCTGTGTCGCTTAATACATTTTCCAATGTAATTTAATCTTATGAGTGTGTGTACTGTGATATTTAATACATTACATATGGCCTTTACAAATTATTTGTGTACCGGAAAATGGCGAAATAAACATAATGATTGCCATTTACATTTCACCTAATTAAAGTGTAAATAAAATCATAGAATTAATCCACGAAAGTTTGCTCATTTATTCAACAGCACGGTCTACTCTTGTTTAATCGGGACTTGATCAATTACCTATTATTTTAAGTAGGAGTTTCAAGGTAAAGGTAAGCACACCCGTTTTTTTTTTAATTAATTACAATAAACACCTAATATTTAAAAAATATATGTATCAATTGATGACACTATTCATTATTTCAGAAACAAGCATGGTATACTGAGTGATTTAATTTGGTACTCGCACTCAAATTAAATATTTGAAAATGACTACCAACTTTTTCTTTAAAAATGCTAGGATTCAAATCCTTTAAGTATACTCTACGGAGTGATACCACAGTATAGAGATCATTCAGTAGAGACAAATCGTATCACAAATGCTTCATTTAAATTAAAATTGATTCGTGTACACAACTTACTACACTTTTTCTAAATAGTTGATCTTAGAAACCACACAGTCTATTCTAATAAATAATGAATTAAGCGCCCTATAACAGAAATGCCGTGTTGAAATTCAGATTTGACCCCGCTTCTGATTACAATTTTACGTTTCATTAATTTCTTTTCCATGATGGTTGTAAAATTCAAGTGCAATAATTACACCGGAAGATCAGCCTTAAACTATCAAAACCAATGCAACTAACTAAACTGCCAAATTTCAATTATTTCACATTAAAGTCACTAGATAACCAAAGTACCGCAGTTCAATGTTCCAATGTGTAAGAAAGAGAAGTACCTTGCGTTACGCGCCCTCATACGGTCACAGGACAGACGACCACCCATGAAAACGGGTCAGTAAAAATAGCGAGTTGTCCCTACTGAATGATCTCTATACTGTGGTGATACAATGAAAAACATCTGTAAATGAAAAAATAACCACACTACTTCCATTTTTTTAAATTCAAATATCAAAAAGAAAATTGCATTTTGAAACACTATTAACGAAGAAATTAAAGACAAATGTTTCAATATTAATAAAAGTAGAAGTCAACACAGTGAGTAGTATACACTAATAATCAAGCAGAAAATGCACATGACAGGTAGTGGATACACTGCTTAACCAAACGTAATTTTTAGTTGTGTTTTATGTGACTCACAGTGTTAACTTTAAATTTACTTTCAATAAATACCATTTTTTTCTAAATTATTTTCTGTATCATTTTGAAAACACCGATATTTATTTTAACACTGATTTCTGGCACTGCAATTGCAGTATTAAACCTAAATTACTTACAAAACTTGTTAAATGAGACGATCTAATAAGCAGCTTTATTAAAAAAAATTGATTGAAAGCTGTTTCGGCAGAACTTCCCTCGCACCTAAGGTACAGTGAAACATATCCAGCATTTTTGAGTTGAGTTTTTACTTTACAGAATTTTGTGATGACGTTATCAACTTTTTTGCAAGGACACCTTGGATTGGTGCACAGTAATACTAAAAATAACAGTACTGTATTCCCAAAATTTTCTGGGAAAATGAAGTGAACCTTTCCTCATTTAATCAATAAAATAAATTGACAAATTCATTAATTTTTTTGAGCCACCTGTATAAGCAAATCTAAAAATAGTTTTCTACCGCGCACGTTTTTTAGTTTTTTAATAGAGCTATTAAAGCACCCAAATGACGTCATAGCGGTTCGTTAATAGCGGAAAGGGGTTCTGAAATAGATCTGGTGTAATTTAGATCGGTAAGATTGGTAGCCATGACGAGAAATGTCAGGTGAATGTCAATGGCAAATGTCAAATTAAAATTTCCCGTATTTCAGGAGGCGTAAGGACTTCATTAACTTCTTCACAAGACATTTTAACCAATTTTAACTTACAAAAACTCGAATTGATTCGAATTACAGTTGTTGTGAAAATTCGAACTTCAAATATTTCGTGGTTCGTGTCAGACCAACTCATCACCAACCACGACAAAATTCTCCAGATTAAAAAAAAAAACGCAAATTTCAATGTGCGCGGTAGAAAAAATTGTATAAATAACTCGTTCATAAGGCCATTGTGGCACTCATCCGTTATACCCATAACTCGCGGCTTCGCCGCTCGTTCTATAAACTTGGATTCGTGTCTTAATATTTGCCTTATGAAACTCGCTCTTTAATATACTAGAATGCAATGATAAATCACAAGTAAAAACTTACTATGGAAATTTGCAATTTAACACCTTTAAATTTCACAAGTTTTTACAAAATTAAGGGGGGCAAAATCCGTTTTATCTTAACAAGTACTAGGACCGCCCACCTGCCCCCTGTTTTCTCAGAGGAAGTCATTTGCCGAAATAAATCTTATCTTAGCAGGTACTAGCCCTGCCCACCCATCCAACCTTTATTTTCTTAGAAGAATAAGTCATCTGCCAAAATCAGTCTTATCTTACCAGGTACTAGCCCCACCCACCCTCCCTCTCTTTTCTTAGATGATATGTCATTTGCCAAAATCAGTCTTATCTTACCAAGTACTAGCCCCACCCACCCGCCCCCTATTTTCTCAGGGGATATGTCATTTGCCAGAACAAGACTTATGTTAGCAAGTACTACGCCCCCTCCCACTCGCCCTTTATATTTCTTCAGAGGGTAGTACTTACTAGTACTTGCGAAGATAAGTCTTGTTCTTGTTTTGGCAAATGACATCATCTGAGAAGATAGGGGCGGGTGGGCGTTACTAGTACTTGCTCAGATAAGACTGATTTTGGTAATGCCATACCCTCTGAGAAAAGAGGGGGGGGGGGGGGGGGGGCTAATACTTACTAAAATAAGACTGATTTCTGATTTCGGTAAATGCCATGCCCTCTGAGAAAATAGAGAGGGGGTAAAGAAAGTTATAATGCAATTATTCTATTTAGTTTTAAATTTTTTCTAAAAATTCTGGATGTCGAGGAGAATGAAAATTCGACACGGATTCACACCAGAAGTACAAGGGTATCTTATTTTATAAAATTAAAAAAACTTTTAATTATAAATTTTGGAGATGACGTCATCAAATTGTTGGTGGGGATAATTAGCCAAATTTTGGTTAGTATTTAACCATCTACATGATATTTCTATCATATGTGCAAAATTTGACAACAATCGGTCTTGGAGATTACGTGTCTAAGGAGAATGGATACAGACAGACAGACGGACGGAATCGGGAGACCACTTTTTTCGTACTCTAGAGGTCATGACACGTGGAGAAAATATGAAAGTGGCAATTCGGCCGATGGACTCGATTACAATACTTCCTTAGCTTACGCTTGAGAAGTAAAAAAGAGTTAGTGATTATAGGTCCCCCACCCAACATTAGAAATGCCTTCTTTTAAGTTGACAATATCACATAAGTATTCCCACCAAAAATCTTCCTTGGAACCCTATATCTTTAAATAATATTTTATTACTTCCAAAAATTGAAAAAAAAAATCATTTTCCGAAAATTTGGGAAGCTCCTTTTTTAATGAGCTGTACCTGTAATAACGCAACATCCTCCACTAACCGCAAAAACACCAACAGAACAAGTTCTGTTTGAATTTCCCCACAAGAACAAGCCTCTGACAGCTCCGACAACAGCCCTGGCCACTGCTGAGGCCACTCGCGCTTCACCATCTCAACTACTACCCTGCTCAGAGCATCCTTCATGTGGGGCTCATCACTGATTCCGCCCGCAGCCAACAACTTCATTGCATTTTCCTACAACCAGCCGTGAGCTCATCTGATGAAATCTGTTGCAATCTTACCTTAATGAAAATTTTCTCCTGCTGAGAGATCTGCGTCCACCTATACTTAACAGTGTGCTCCATCAACTGGAGCCCAAAATGTCTCGAAATGAGCGAATGTTGCGTCCCAGCGGCCAAATACAACCCTGCTTGAGCACACAAAGGAGATGTTTCTTTGAAGCTTTCACAGGCGTTGTAGGCTTTAAGCCGGTCAGTTTGGGAGGCTCCAGTGCTCATAGTCAACTCAACAGCCCTCGCTAAATCAGCAGCGAGAGCCGCCACATCTGGTCCAGCCATTATTTCGAAGATGTGTTGCTGAAATTTGAAGGAATACATCATCACATGGTAAAAAGCAGCATGGTTTTTGTGCTCCGGGGATTTTGGCGTATTAGAGAGGCGACTAAGACTGGGGTAGAGTGGCGGAGACAGGATGTAGGATGTTGATAGTACTTACATTATTTGTTTGCTGATTCTTCTAGTCCATGTCACGAAGATATCAACAATTAATTTTCGCTACAAATTTTGCAGTTGACGGTTGCCGGCCATTGCCGGCTCTACACCCTCTGGTGGACGCTTGCTGAAAATGTTGCCTTCTTGCAGTTTTCTTTTTGTCTTAATAATCATCTCATAGGCGTAGAGAGATTAGAAGCTAATAAGGGGTTCATTCCTTTACTTTACCTAAAGCATTTTTAAAGTTACAGTTCAACTATCAAAATTTCGACTACGCAAATGCCAAATTTAAATTATTTCTTACATGACAAAATTTCTGAAATAGCTTGCGTGCTTTATATTTATTATTACTATTATTTAAAAAAAAATCACAAACAATTTTTCAATCATAGAAGTAATATTACATATTTACATCACTTTGAACTTCTTTGTAGTGTAGCTGTGTTAAACGATTTTTTTTTAATTTTTAACGCCGCCCCTGGATAAGTCACTGGCATTTGTGATTCGATACTACAGGTTCCTACTTTTCCCGCAACGCCGAAAATACAAATTCAACGATTTTTAGGTTATGTTTAGTTGATTATTTGTGGTTATATCTGAAAAATCATTGAAACGACCATAATTTATTTATTACCACTATTTTAACATTTACTTAACATAACCACCTCAAAATGGCTGATGTTCGCGATATTATGGAACTGGAGCACCCATCCCAGGAAGTAACCCGTGAATCCATCATAGGTTCTGATAAACAGAAAAAGCGTCCTCCGCCACCTACCAAAACCCAAAAGAGACCCGAAGGCATGCATCGCGAGGTCTTCGCACTCCTATACAACGATAGCAAAGATGTGTCTCCACTCTTTCCATCTGATACGGGTCACGGATATAAGCAAACCAAAATCAAATTAGGAATGAGAAAACCTAGGAAATGGAAATGGATGCAGTTTACGAATCCTGCAAGAACGGACGGAACAATATTCTATCATTGGAGAAGACCTTCGGATGAACCAAAAGAATATCCGTTTGCTAAATTTAATAAAAAAGTTGACGTTGTTACATATACAGATGCAGAATATCAACAGCATTTGCGCGTGGATGGGTGGAGTAAGGAGGAGACCGATCACATGATAGAGTTAGCGCAGAGGTTCGATCTGCGATTTATTTTGATGGCTGATAGGTACGACACAGAGAAGTTTCCCAAACGTTCAGTTGAAGATATTAAAGATCGATATTATAAGATTTGTGGAGTAATGAGTAAATTAAAAGGTGAGAAGAAAATTTATACTTATGATGTAGACCATGAGAAAAGAAGAAAAGAACAACTGAAAAAATTGTATGACAGAACACAAGAACAAATTGAAGAAGAACAGTTTTTGATGTTAGAACTCAAGAAAATAGAAGCTAGAAAGAAGGAAAGAGAGCGAAAAACGCAGGATTTGCAAAAGCTGATTAGTCAAGCAGATAATCAGACAGAAACTCCTAAAAAAGCTGATAAGAAGATTCCGAAGAAAAAACTGGCGAACCCATCTAGGCCATCCCGTGTAGATACAACTCACATTTTTCAGGTGGTTGAAACTGCAGGAATTAAATTTCCAGATTATAAGAATAGCGGCGTTTCTTTGAGGTCACAGAGAATGAAGCTTCCAGCTAATGTAGGACAGAAAAAGTCGAAAGGAATTGAACAGTTATTGCAAGAGATGGGATTAGAATTAAATCCAATACCAACCGAAGAGATCTGTCAGCATTTTAACGAACTTCGTAGTGACATGGTTTTGTTGATGGAAATCAAATCTGCGCTTAGTACTTGTGAATATGAACTTCAGTCATTGAGACACCAGTATGAAGCAGTTAATCCTGGCAGAACGTTAACAATACCACCACAACTACTATCAAATTTAGAACTAGATAATAAGGTCGGTGGTGGAGAGATTATTGATGTTGTTGGGTCGCCTAGTACTCCAACATCATAGTTTTCAGTTTGCATATTTTTGCGCAGTTTATCGGTAAATTTTTGTATATAATTCGCTTTTATAACTGACTGTAATTATATTCAATTTGAAAAATATATATCTTTTTTCATGTTCAGTGAAGCAAGCGTCTTACTATGCTAACCTTTAAACTCAACTTTGTTATACATGGACAGTGTTATATACCGAAAACACGGTTGCAGCCGAGAATGAGTTGAAATGCGAACACCATTAATTAGTGTTGCTCCACAGTGGTTAATTCTCGCATCCGAAATTGAACACGGGGATTACACACCCATGTAAACTAAAGTTTTAATTGACTACTAGCATGTCCACAAATCTGTATTTTTACCAACCTAAATTTATGTGATGATTCCCACCAACACTTTGAAGTTATCAATATCATACATACATACATAACATGCTTCTCTACCATGGTTTATGAATCCGTACTTATTTTTTATCTTGGAAATACAGATCTTTGGAAGGTAATTACTCAGAATTGTATAAAATTTATAATTTAATTTAAAAATTGCAAAACCGAATGTTTTGAAATTTTGCAAACGTTTTAACGTTATAAGTATATTAATTCACTAATCAAAATTTCTCTTTATCCTCTCGAAAAATAAAAGTAAGTTACTTTAGTGATTCAATTAAAACCGCCTGACCACATTTTCCAGAAGTTTGGCGTAATTCTACTTAATTCTTACTTTTTCATCAAGCTTTAACCGTGCAAAGACTTCAGTTTAGTCAGAAGTCATAACATTTAAATTTAAACACAATAATGTTACAAATCGGCTAGAGACAATGGCGACTGGTGACCTTTGAAATGGGGGGACACAATTTGGTTGATGAGTTAAATATGGAGATATAAAATAGGTTCTTATTACCAATCACGGAAATAAATACAAAAATACCTACATTCAATAAAAGTAAAAAAGTATTTGTCCACATACCTTCGTGTCGTAGATCATCCACGCCAGTATTAATCCAGGGGACGGTTTTAACTCATTACTGAAGAGACACACAAAACAAAACAATTTATTATTTTTTTTACAACCGCACATCCACGAATATTTATCATACGTGTTACGTCTATTAAAATATCTATAAAAGTCTCCCGTTTTGCCATGAACACTTTTTTTTATTAATAAATCGGGAATGGCTCTCTCTAAATTTTTCAATAAAATTTTACCGTCCTGACACAGAGGGCGATTTTTTATTAAATATTCAACCGAATTAATTATTTTTATTTAAAATTAAACAACTGCACTCGCGCAGAATGAAAATTAAAACCCACAATTGAGGTATTGCTCGTGGTCACTGTCGGAACAGGACCCGATTCCAGCCCAATACCGCGACTAGGCGCATGGTTTCCATGGCAGCGGTGTAAACAAAACGTCTAAATGAGTCGTGATTTGGGCTCCGTCAGCACTTCATTGGCAATAACATCATATATCCAAAACACATCTGTAGATGTACGTTTTGATACATTTTATACGAGTGGAGCTAGATAAAAAATTAATTTTGATAATTATGACACAAATTTCCGGATATTTTTTTAAATGTTGAAAATTACTATTTTACTATGTCCAGTGTGAACGAGCATGTTATTTAAAGAAAAATAACCTAATTTATTCTTTTGAGATACCTGTTTCAAATTTTAAAAAATAAAAGAATATTATGAAAACACAATAAATAACATTACTTTTGGGGCATATTTTTAACAAGCATTTACATGTACATTTTTGAGGTATCATCCTCAACTTTCTGATGAAGTTAAATAAATTAGTTCTAATCGAAATTCTGTAATTATTAAATCAATAAACGTATCTTACCAAATTTTCAAAAAAAAAATCCTACTTATAGGTTCTAAAATAAGTAGTAAATTTTATAAAAATATGGATATATTATTAAACTGCAGATTAGAAACATTTCAAAATATAATAAATTTCAAAGGAAAGTTACCTATGAAAATTTTGAGATGCCGTCATAATATAAAAATCGTGCGGATGAACAGATACATTTTGTTAACGTTTAATGGCCTATAGGATCACCTTACAGTGCTTTAAAAAATTCACAGTAATCAGTTCATTTACTTTGAAGATGCGAAATGGGGACCAACACTTTCGTATTTCACAAGCTGCGAATCGTCAAAAAACCTTGAAATTAAAGATTCGTGTAAATCAATACTCCAATACATCTCTAGCCTACCCAAGAGAAATAAAAATGAATTCATTAAATACAAAATAACAAACATAGTAGTATAACTTACAAAACATTTTATTTTAGAAATAAAAAGAAAACACATTAAAAATGACGTATTTTCCATATTTTCAAAATTCTTGCTAATATTTAGTAAACCATTAGTTATAAAATAACAAAAACGTAAGCGTACTTAAGTAGCTACACATTTTCAATTTCACAGTAAAGTTCTCTCACCAAATTTCGATTTTTTTAACAGAAAACAACAAGCAGGTACATAGATTACAGAAAATATATTTTTTTTAATTTTGATGTTCCGCTTTATTATTAACTTGTGAGCGATTTTTATTTTAACATTACGTGTATTTTTCATTATGCTTTGCCAAAATTAGGTTCAAATCTAGATTATTTTTTTCGTATACAGAGACCCTCTACATGGTACGTTTATGGAACAAGTAATCTAAAAGCCTCGACCACGACCGTGGAATAGATACTTCGAGACACTAGTATATGTCCATGTGGTCAACGACGCTAATTACCGTCGCGTCGCCTGGTTTTAGGAACCTACAGACCCTAAAGAAGAGAATCTGTCCAAACCGTCGCCTAGTTTTCACTGTGGTCCTGTTATATGGAAACGCTATGATTGGATAATTTAAAAACGGAGGGAACTATTATGAAAATGACTACAGAAAATACTTGACTATTTATTTTGAAAATTTCTTGTAGAAAAAGACCAAATGCCTAAATCAGACCGTCACAGTAAAATTATGACAATGTATTATTCTATAAAATAGAATCATTTTGTGTTCACTGGTTTTATTCTCGTATTTTCCTCAAGTAAGTATGTCTACTCTAACGTCTCATTGGAATGATTTTGTGATTTTATTCCGTTACATTTACACATTAGGAACAGCAAATTAAAAAAAATATGTGGTTGTGATATAAAATGGCGGCTTTGTCCAGCCTCTCTTCTTTAGGGTTTCAATAGGTAATTCTATCGACATCTGTTCGTAACTGATATAATTAATAAAAGATAATAATACATAGTTATCGACTCTGATCAAATGTCACCTAAGAATTTTGTGTTGCTAATTGTATTTAGAAAGCACTTGTAAACCCTTAAAATAACTAAAATGATTTTCGTACTACATGGTAGAGGCTTTCCATGGGAAGAAGCGTTATCATTTCAAGTCGCTAGTGTATCAACCAAAATTCTACAACCGTGGCATGGACTAACATACTTTTGACCAATTAGAATTCAATGCTTGTGTTGATGAGGCGTTTACTTGTTTAAACTCCATCTTAACTTTGTTAGAAAAGAAAAACTTTTACTAGACAGAAAGTTTTCATTTAGATACCTGATTTGGAGAAAGGATAAAAAAACACAAAACATTTTAGTCTAATAATATAGCGAACTCTACATACGGCAATCTCTTGATTGAAGAAAACCATAATTTTAATGACAACTTTAGAATTTTACACATAGAAAATAAAGGTTTAAAACTTAAATCTCTAGAATGTTTGGAAATTAATAGGTATGAATGACCAAACGGAGTTAAACAAATCTCCACTGCTAAATATGAAATTGTAAAATTTTTTGTGTCAGGTATACAAATGAAAACTTTTCTGTTGTAAAACCAGTTATTCTTCTTCCTGAAGACGGTACTGCGTAACGAAACACGCGTGTAGCAGTGTCCTACAAATTAATATTTTAAACTAATTAAAAAAAATCTTTTCTAACAAAGCTAGAATTCAGTATAATAAAAACTAACTTTTTTAATCGCCACCATATTCTTTTTACAGTTTCTGTTAAAATGACGATCGTAAAATAGATACATCCGTGTATCCCTCATATGCAACGCTATTTGCCGATCGTGTCGCCTGGTGCTGGGAACAAGTCACTAGTGCACTAACCTATATTAAAATATAAATAAAAAATGTTACTTTATACAATTAACAAGTATTTCTAACCTAATTGTTGGAACACAAAATAAGTTATCACTTTTGCAACTAAACCTTACAAATTATCGTTGTATTTACAATAAAACTGTACATTTTTCACATCGACTGATGCACCTGAAAAGAGGTGGTTAACTCGTATCAAAATCTGGAATGTATTCCTCAGGTACATTAAACAACGATCCTGAAATAAAAAAGATTATAAATGAAGGATAACAAACACTTTTGTTTGTTTGCTACATAATATCTGTATGAATAAAACACATAAAAATAAATCAACACTTACTGCTGCAACAAGGGGTATCAGTACTCATTCCACCTCCGCTTTCAAACGAATCTTCAGCATACCTCAAATTCTGTCCATTCTTCTTATAAAATTTATCAAATTTGGAAAAACAACTTTGTATTTCTTTGCTTCGTTCAACATGAATGATATGCACCAACTAAAATCAAGCAATTTGCATGCGAACTTCACTTTTTTTTATTTTCTTACATCGGCCATTAAAAAGTTGGTCCAATGAATAATGGCATCAAAAACAGAAATACTTATATGTTTTTGAATATTGTTGTTATCGTTGAAAGAAAGCAACCTTATGAGCGTTTCAGTTCCTTGCATGATTTCCTTATGGTATTCCTACAGAAAACCAAAATAACTACATTTTTAATATTACCGATTCGATTATGCTAACCGGATATAGACTCTTATCTGGATATTCTGATTTCTGAAGAAGGAATTTAGATATGTGTCCTGCAACTTTCTTATAAAAATTTTCTCCAGGTTCATCTTCATTCGAGTTTGACGTCAACAGCTTGAAAATATAAATCGAATCCTTGATCATTTTCCAAAAACCATCGTCGACTTTGATTCTGCTTTTCATCATATTTTCTGAAACAATAACTACACGATTTATCCTTATATTTCCAGTAAACATCGTCAAATTACCTAAAATATGCGTACTTAGAAGATAAATTATAGTGAAACGATGTTTAATGGGTAAACTATTGAACAACAGGTCGTACATTTTTCGCCTGTCTAAGATACTTCTCGAAATAAGCTGCGCCAATTCGTATCCGTTGTTGCTTATTCGATAATTTGGATGCTTCTAAAATTCAAAATATATAATAAAAATAATTCAATGGTAAATAACCACCCTGTATCCATTGATGTGTACAATTAAAGGTACAAAATACCTTGCAATAAGAGTCGGATTAGACATAAAAAAGTTTTCGGATAGTAACTGCTTTGCGTAATCACTTAAATTAACATGGCGGTCGGCCAGTACTGACACAAAAATAATAAATTGTTCTAATTCCAACTTCAAATAGTCGTCTCGTATTAAACGATCAATTTTCATCAGACAAGTCTTTTTAAAAACGTTGTCACCAAATACTAATTGTTTAAACATGTATCTTATAACATCTTCAAAATTGTGAGTTACCCTGTAAAATAAAATATGTGCATAATTTATTTAAACTGAAAAAGCTACCTACATATTACACAAATCGAACGTCATATTAATAGCCGCCAACTTCACTACCGTCACTGAAGAATTTAAACCACACTGCAGATAATCCAACGCCGTTTCTACTAGGTTTGTTTTCACCACACAAATGTTGGTGTAAAGAAGCAGACAACCGATCCACAATTTCGGATTGAAATCAGCACTTCCTTAAAATTTACAATGTATTTATTACAAATATTTTAAGAGCCAAAAAGAATTCTTACTACTGTGAAATTCATCCGTACATAAGGACAAAAAATCGGTTACAGCCTTTAAATTTTCCTCATTCGGTATAACTCTTCCAAAAATTATCAACTGACAGTAATACACCAATGGAAGAAAACTACCTCTAGTTTGGACAGCTGCGGCAAGCATTCGGTCATATTGCTAAAACTTTAATTATATTTTTCGAAAATTTCCTTTTTTTTAATATCTACCTCCTTAAAGAGGGCAAAATCTTCTTCCAAATTCGTAAAGTCTTCGAGCGTTTTCAGTAAAGAAAAAGCATTAGCTACACAATTCCACCGAAAACTCTGCCGTAGAAGGTGATGTTTGATAAAACACACCATAATTTCATTACATCGTACACTTTGATTTGATCGCGATGGGGCGTTTTTATATATTTTATTATAAATGTAAAACAAGTGCGTCAAATCGGCACGATTGCATATCGTCGTAAAATTATCATTGATGTGGTCGGCTATTACTGAAAGCTCTTTATATTCGGTCAAATGAACAAGAGCACACAGTAATTTCATATTTGATTCGTTTATATTTGAGAGGTTGCCAATTAGTTTCGTGATGTGATCGTTTCTTTAAAAAAATAAATAAATAAATAAAAACGGCTCAGAATGAATAACAAATTGGAGTTTATTGCACGTACCTGATCAATCCCAATGTATGACATTTTTCAAAAAATTCCGAAAAATGAAAATCGTCGGATATGATTGGATCGATAAAGATTTCGCTTTTTACTGGCATTCCTTTGCAGACGTTTGGATAAATCATAGCTGTGTATAAATACTGTAATATAATTATATTAAACGTTAGGTTCATCTTCTCTAAGTTTTTACCTTGACGAATTCCGTTGATGATGCCATGGGATGTAAGGCCATTTTGAAAATTATTTTTAAGAGCTGTAGAGCACTGAATTTCTGATTTTTGTGTGTTAGTGTTAAGTAAGTTTGAGACAGAAGAGGAAGGAATGGTTTAACATCGTATGGTGTGCACTGTTCAGTTAAAAAATCCAGAACCTAAAAACTTTCCCCAATTAATTTATTCCAAATACTTTTTAATACGTTCCATTATAAAACTATCTCAATATACTTTTATTCTATTTTACTACTCATCAATTTTGAAATTTAATGTTTTTAATGACTACAGAATTTAAACGTAAACACCCTGGACATAAAGATACTTTTGGTCCTTCCCAGTATTAACGTTTGAAGAAGAAAATCTTCTACAGCGGTAAAATTTATTCAAATTTAATAAATATTTTTAATTGTTTATGTCTATATACATATTTAGATGGGTGAAGGATACTGCTGACAAAGGATTTCCACGAAAAGCCAACGACTTAAAAACAGTAGACCCGATGATGTTTGGTTAAAAGTAAGTGCAAACTTTCGTAAATTATTTTAAGTTACATTTGTTAGATGATGAAATATACCTAGGGTTTTCTTCAAGACACCCAACAATTTCATCCTAAAACACCACGAAAAGAACTTATGACGATTTATTTGTTTGTCATAACTTTTATTATGAAGTAAATGACAATGACAGTGAGGAAATAAATAAATAATAATTTGTCACAAATACAACAGATGAGCTATTAATGGGATTAACTCTTCAGTACGTTATGTACGGGGTTTCAGGAGTCCTCTCTTTTCTTAGAGGGTGTCTCAGTTGCCAAAATCAGAGTTATTTAGGCAAGTACTACATCCGCCCAACCGCCCTTTATTTTCTTAAATGGTTTGTACCTACTCAGATAAGACTGATTTTGGTAAATGAGATACCGTCTAAAAAAGAGAGGGTGGGTGGGCGGGGCTAGTACCTGCTAAGATAAAACTGATTTTGGCAAATAAAATTCCTCTAAAAAAAATAGAGGACGGGTGGGTGGGGCTAGTACTTGCTAAGATAAAACTGATTTTCACTAATGATATATCCACTAAAAAAAGGAGAGTGGGTGGGTGAGGCTAGTAGCTGCTAAAATAAGACCATTTTTGGTAAATGACATACCTTCTAAAATAAGAGAGGGTGGGTGGGCCGGGCTAGTACTTACTAAGATAAGATTAATTTTGCCAAATAACATACCCTCTAAGAAAATCAAGTGCAAAGGGTATATCACTTGGCAAAATCAGTCTTATCTTGACAAGTATTTTGCCGTTTTTTTCTTAATATGTGTAGACTTATTTCGACAACACACAGGCAGTTAGTAATTTTTGAACATCAAACCGTTGAAACATCCTGTAGAGACCATTCCTTGTCTGAACATGGCCGACTAGTATAAAGATTATGGCCTGTCCAAGAGGTACGATACGTGTTGCCATCTATTAATAATTACTTAATAATTACACCTAATAATTTAGCAAAATTTTAATTTGACTTGACATTATGGGACTTCAAAACGTGTAATGGTGGTCTGTTTGGGTATGAATGCCTTTGTGCCTTTCAAAAGGTGTTAATAATTCTTTTGTCGATTTTGAATTATTAATTGATGGCAGCACGTATGGTACCTTTGGCATTCCTTTGGACAGGCCATAATCTTTATACTAGTCGGCCATGGTCTGAACTGGTTTTCGAATTGAAGATTTTTAATTTTTAATTCAAATTATTTAGAATTTATGAGGTTCATTGTAAACACTCATGATTTAAAAAAACTGGAAACAGAATCAGGTTAAAACAACTATAATATGTAAATAAATAACTAATTAATGAAAAATGGAGCTTCTAATTTTTCACGTATGTTTATATAGTGATGATTGTTCTCTGAATTTTCTTTGTCTTTATTAAAAAGTTGACCTAGATGAAACACATTCCTGCGGATTTTTTTTTCTTTTCAGACTTATTTTTTTAGAATCGCTTATATAGAGTGACTCAAAAAATTATTATTAAAATTTTACACTGCACCGATATGAAAAGAAGTCTACACATATTAAAATAAAAAGGCAATATATAAGAATATCTCTTTATTCCCCATATATGACGTCATGTCAAAATTTTGTCCAATAAATCCTCTTTAAAATATCAAAAATATTGTCACCCCATACTTGTGATTTATCATTTCATTCATATTTTTTAGATTTGCTTATGCAGGTGGCTCAAAAAATTAATGAATGAATCAATTTATTTTATTGATCAAATCAAAACGGCTCACTTCATTTTCCCGAAAATTTGGGAATATAATCCTGTTATTATTAGTATTACACTGCACCAATCCAAGTTGTTATACGTATCCTTCCAAAAGTGTTGATGACGTCATTACATAATTTTGTAAAGTAAAAACTCATTTGAAACATAGCGTAGCACGCTTCTGTACATTTATTTTACCAATACATATTTACATATGTTTATTTCAACTTACAGGAGCTCTCCTAACAAAATAAAATTAGCAAAATCAAATTTTATAATTTTTCGGAAATGCTGGATATGTTTCATTGTACCATTCATTTCATTGTTTCAAAACCATAGAAATATATATATGCACCTAATTTTTAGACAAGTGTTGTGTGTCTTCTAAAGTACATTTGTTTATCCCATTTTCACGATGTCTGAATTGTGTTGTCGTTGATTAGAAAGAACACGTAGAAAAAAAACTTGACGAGAACTCCATGTCCGCACAAATGAGCATGATGTAAGACAATAAAAATTTTATACCTCTGAGCCTCTTTATACCTACGACACTAGAAAAAACGTGATTTTTTTATGTATAAACTGAAATAAATTTTTAAAAAATCAGAATAGTTGAATGTCAACCTTGGATGCAGTATTAGCAACAATAGATTCTTATTAGGAACAACACATTCGTCACAAAAAAAATTAACACCAGACAACAACAAATGCAACGAAACTTTAGAAATCGGTTCTAAAACATTATGAATAAAATAAAGTAAACTAAAAATATCTACTAAAAGCTTAAAGAACAAAGATTATGAAAAAAAATGCTTGTAAAAAATCCTAAAGTATATGCTAAAAAAGTGTTTTTGCCGTCTTATAATATGGGACAGTGGGCGCTAATGGGTTAATAAGAACAAATATACTAATGATATGATGGCATACTATGAAAGTTCAGGAATGGAATTCCAATGGCAAAAAGTATGCCATATGACAAAATTAATTAAAATTAAAAAAAACTATTAAACCTGATATGATTTTTTTTAATCAAATCACAAGAGATAACTTTGGAAAGCTATCTGAAAAATATTTTGAAAAGTTGAAAAATGTAGACGAAATTAACTTTTTAAATTATTTACAGAAATAAATTATAATTTTTTTAATTCAACCATTTTAGATATTACTTTAGAGTGAAAATCAAATTAGTATGTGGGCTCACTGTTACGGATCAACGCAGGCATTAATACAAATATGGCTTTGGAAAGTTTGAATAATTTTTTAAAAACAAATCAAATAAAACGACGTGCAAATGCTCCTGTGGAAAAACTCTTAAATAAATTATAAGATCTAATGGATGCGAAGATTTGGAAAAGAATATTGGACATTGAAAGACCCAATGCAAATGATCAAGATCAAATGACAATGAGTACGTTTACAGCGGGCGCTTAGTCCGCGACCTAAACACCAAATTCGACCGAAGTGAGTTTAGTCCTCATGCTGTAAACGCAGACCAAGTAGTGGACTAATGGATAGGTCCGTCAAGCACTGCCGCATAGACTGACCTAAAACCGGTACGGACTAAGCTGAAGAAATGACGGTGTAAACGGAAAGGGACTGACCCAAGCGAATGGTACCTATTTTACCGAGACGGCTGCTATTTATGTCGTATTCGGTGTTTGCTAATGTCGAATCCTTTGTTGTGAAATACCTTTATTTATTCATAATTACTACTGTTGTTTTAATTGCTGGTAAATAAACACGATGACTGACGTTACTATAACATCAATATAATTTTTAATAATACGTGGTAAAAATGTGGTTGAGCAGCTTGCATTATTGCCGATGTAAACGCAGACTAAAAGAGTACTACGTAGGTCGGATTTAGGTGAGAGTATGGGTTAGTCCACCATAAGCTTAGCGCTGTAAACGTACACAATAAAGGCCCATCGTGCTGAAGAAAAAATGGACAAGAATTTGATTGAAGTATCCTTTGGACAACTTCAGGTTAAGTCAAAAGGTGATAATGTATACAAAGTAGTTTATAATGAATTATGTGAACGAAATTGTTTAGAAAGTTTTAGAAAGGTTTAAATGTGAATGTCCAGAATACGCTATAAAAACATGTGTAAACATCCATTTTGTAAGTATGAATGAAAAATACACTTTTAGTCGCTGCATTTACAGCAAATATGGTCAAAACATTTATAAGAACTAAAAAAGTATGTCGTTTTCGCACGTACGACTGCATAAAAAAATCTTTTTTGAATTATATTCTTATGAAAAATATCTACAAACAAACTTTCTTTTGACATAGAGTTAGTTGCTGGATGTTTTAAAATGAGTAACTTGTTTGTAAATAAATGTAAAACGCCTGTATAATGAACACATAAACATTTTAATTTTAAAAAGTCGCGTTTCACTTCCTGTATCAAAACTGTAATTTATATATGTAAAAATAATAGGTACTGAAGCAGTTACAAAATTTTGACAATATAAAAATAAAACTTCTTACCTCCCTGTACATTTCTGGATGATCCTCTTCACAAAACAACATTACAGAAACTACAATTACCAACAAATTTTTATTTTTCGAACGGGTACCCCACTTCTTGCTCATTAGAGTCTGAAGACCTCTCAACATCATAGGCACATTCATGTTCTGGTTATTGCTGCAGTTTAAAATTGCCTAAAAAATAGCAATCCATTTTTCCACATTTCCATATATAAAATAAAAACCTTCATAGGTGTTTTTATATACTCTTTTTCTAAATCTGGCGACATCAAAATCTCCGCTAGCGACTCAACTGCATTATTTGAAACTTCACTTTTGCTTGAAAGACAATTGAGTAAAATCTGTTTAAGTAAAATTTCATTTGTCACTTTAACTTTCTCTGTGGGAACATACTTGGGAGGGTAGCAGATGATGGATAATGCTAGTTTAAATAAGTTTTTATGTGGGTTTTTGGTCATCATCATCTTGTTTAAAATGTCAAGCAATGTGCGATAATATTTCTCTTTTAAACCATTCATTATAAATACCGCCTCCTACAATTTTTTAAATTAACATTAACCAATAAAGTTGGTGGGAATAATTACACCAAAAAAAGTAAAGTCTGGATGTTTCCAAATATGGATAAATGCGTTCAGGAATGTTTTGTACCGCTCTTCCTTAAATTTTTGATGGAGACTTTTGAACAAATTCCGGAAGTTAAGTTGAATTATGTTAAAATGACGCGGCGTTGTATGTATTGCGTTATGTTTTCTTAAACCATTAAATAAATACGTCATTATTATGAATTTTCTTGACTGAATGAGTTCCTGCTCATAGAGGACTTTTAAACTTAACAGGCTTTCAAGCGCTATAGGTTGTGGATGATTCAACATTTCAAAATCATGAAAAACTTCCTTTGATTTGATAAACATAATATGTATCAATGTAGCTAATGTCACCTCTAAATCAGAAAGAGTGAGTTTAGCTCTCACAAGAAATTTTCGTAATTTAAACATTAAACGATTGGCAATATGTTCTGTTGCCACAGCTTCAAGTGATGACTCTACAGTAGAAATAGTAATACGATAGAGTTTACTCTTATAAAATTCATCACGTTGTGGAGTTGTCAGTAAATGTAAATACACCTCTGCAGCGTACAAGACACATTTGTACGAGATCAGCTCATGTGATTGCGTTATACACTGGTATATTAAAATCAAGAGATACACTTTCAATTCTTCGTCAATTTCATCGAGTTCTTCTGCCATATTCAACTTCTCTAACGCAATTTCCCAAAACTGTTCGAGGAGTACAGGCAAGTGGTTGTTAAAGTCGTTAATGGCATTTGCACTTATATCCCCATCAGAGTTAATTCCTTCAAGTTCTTCCCATAAGTGAAATACATAATCACGACAATGAAGTTTTTCGTTTTGATCACGGATGTAACTTGTGAAATCCATTTTACCACCAATTATTTGTAAACACAAACTAAAAACCGTAACCTACAAAAACACTGTCAAATATCGATAACGTAGACAACTGTAAAATGAGTACTCGAACCACAACACAGAAACCATAGAATATCCTCCTGACAGAAACATTGATTCCATCACATTCCATAGACAGATACACTTGTTTTTTTCTAGCTTATTTATTATGTTAATTCTAAAAAGCGCAATACGTTTCTCATACGTTGTTTTATAGATTTTATTTTTACTTCCCGAGCGTAGAGTTCATCGAGAGACTGGTTGCTTCCATATTTTCTCGAAGTGTCATGAACCCAAAAGGACGAAAAAATGGGTCCCCGTTTCCGACTATCTGTCTGTCTGTTTGTCTGCCGACTGTCGGGATTTGTATTAAACAAATAATCTCTGAAACTACTGCACCAATTGTTGCCAAATTTTGTGCTTAAATTAATCACATGGAGATATGTAGTATTAGTTTCTTTAACATTGGTTAAATGAGGGTATGTAGTTCTGTAAAATTTAAGAAACATTTGTTCTGCAAAATTATAAAATGACGTCATAATTGTTTAGGAGGCCATAAACGAAAACATTTTGATTAACGATTTACCATGCTTACGACAATCTTAAATTTGTAAGTTTTTAAAGCATTCGGTTTTACAATTTCAAAGTTAAGTTGTAAAATGTTACACAGTTTTGATTTTTTCACCAAAAATTTGGATGTTTCGGGTGAAAACTCGACTCGGATTCATGAATCACACAAGCAGGTGTATGCAATCCTATAAAATTAAATGTACAACACGAAAAAAAAAAGGGACAAATTAGCACGGGCAGCCCATGAGTTGAGAAGTTGATAAGGCAAAGTACATTGTCGTTTTTATTTTAGGACAGCACGTAGAAATTTTTTGGCAAAAAATGGAATTTTAGAAACATTAAGCAAGCCAAAAAACGTGTAATATATCATTTTTCTATGCCAGACAATCAATTTTTACTTGATTATTTTTTTGACTTTTGATTTTTCAATTTGTCGTTTTTCAATTTTTCGTATTTTCAACTTCTGGCTTTTTCAATTTTTGATTTTTGAACTTTTGAATTTTTTAGTTTTACGATTTTGTTGTTTTTAGTTTTTCAATTTTTAGATGTATTTTTTTTTACTTTATGATTTTTAATAGAAGGTATGCATTTATTAATTTCGGCAATGACAACAAAGCACACCGATGTCATTCGAATGTGGTTGCTTTTTCGAATTTTTAAAAATTACATTGTTCTTTGGTTTTATTTTGCAATTTTTTAATTACACAATGTTTTAATTTGAAGGTTTTAGAGTTTTCAAAATTTTGATTTATCATCATTCGATTTTTTTAAATTTACAGTTAGCTGGATTTGTCAATTTCTAGATCGTTTATTCAGTTTTTTGATTTTCCAGTTTCTCAATTTTTAATATTTCGATTTTCATATTTTCCATTTGTGAATTTTTGTTCCTTCAATTTTTCGGTTTAACAGCTTTCCGACTTTGGGTTTTTTAGTTTTGAATCTTTAATTTTTCAATTTTACAATTTTTGGAATTTTTTATTTTATGATATGTATTGTAATTTTTTAGTCTATCAGATTTCTACTTCGCAATTTTTCGATATTTCAGTTTAGCACTTCTTCAATTTTTCAATTTGTAGATACTTTAATTTTTCTTTCTTTCAATTAATGAGAATTAATGATTAATAATAATTGAATTAAACGATAACTCAAATTTTCAGTTTTTCTGGTTTTCAATTTTTAGTCTTATCAAATTTTAGCATTTAAATAATCAAGTTTTCGTTTTTGAATTTTTAAATTTTGGGCAAAAAAAAACAAGTTTACTCAAACTGAAATTTTAAAAAATTGTAACGCAGGAATTTTTTTCATGTTGCTCTTATATTTTCGATGTTTCTTCGAAAATGGAAATATCCACAACAAAAAATCAAAAAATTGACAATCTAACAAGCGAAAAGACGAAAAAATAAAATATCACAAAAATTGAGAAATCCAAAAATAATAATAGAAATAATCAAACTAAAAGGTGAAACAACGAAATATTGAAAAATCGAAAAATCGAAAAATTCAAAAGTGCGAAATCTAGAAATGAAAAAATTGAAGTGTTTTTTTTATTTTTTATAAAAATCTCAAAGTCAGCAATTTCTATAATATGGATCCGCTGGAATCATGCTCAAAATCCTTACAAATCCACAACTTTTTAAAAAATAACCTTAAAAATGGGGTGAAATGTTAAAAAAATGCATTAAAAAATTTCACGACAAAAATGGACTCTATTTTATAAAAAGCAATAAAAAAAACTTCACCGCCAAAATTGGCCTGTTTGCTTAAAAACATGATCAAGTACCTAAAAATAGATGAAAAAGATGTAGGGTGAAGCGTACCATTTTATTTTATACTGATTTCAGTTGAGAAATTTCATCTAAAATGTCCGATAATCCAGTACTTAAACCCGAGCTATTCAAATGAGAATTAGATTTGAAATGATAAACAATGCTTTTGGAATCACCAAAAATTATATTTGGTAAATATGAATTAAATCGGCAAAATTGTAAAATCATATCACTATTGTTTTAGAGGGGCATAAACGAAAAAAATTTGATTAACGATTTACCATGCTTACGATAACGTAAAACGTTTCCAAAATTACAGAGTAATTCCCAAAATTAAATTGCAATACATATGTTGTAATTTTGATTTTTTCTCCAAAAATCTGGATGTCTAGGGAAAAAATTCAAAAGGGGTTCATAAACCACATGTGCAGGATACCCTTATTTTATAAAATTTAAATAATATTAACTACTGTAAATTTTGGAGATGACGTCAACAAAGTGTTGGTAGGGATGATTAGCCAAATTTTGAGTATCTACACGATATTTGTAATACACGTATAAAATTTAACAACTAATTCACTAGTTTCGGAAATTATCTGTTTAATAAAAATTCTGAGAGACGGTAGATAGACAAGACAGACGGAAAAGGACGACCTATTGTTTCGTTTATGCTCTGAAAGTCAAAAGATGCTGTTATTTAATATTTACATATATCGGTTTTTTGTCTGTCATATTTTTAGGAATATTTATTGTATTTGTAATTGTAACATCCTACATATGTGAAAAATGTAGATAATTGTATCAAAAAAAAGAAGTGGACTGTTTCGAAGCCCACCGGGAAATTTCTCGGTGTCCCAGCGGCACAATCCCACACTGACTCGATCTGACCCTTACGGCTTCTCTCTTCTTATTGGTCATTTTTCTTGCTGGCATTCCACTTCCCGTCTGTCTTTCTATCGAATTTCCATTCTCTAGACTCCTACAAACACTATAAGGTGTACTCTTTGGCAAACATATCGGCGATCATTTTCCACACGAAATATTTGTTAAACTTCCAAGAGTAACCAGCGAAAAAATGTTTGATAAATATCAAAGCAATAACAACGTAAGTCATTTTTCTCAAAGCTAAATTGATATATAGCAATTTAAAGTTTGTGCGGATTTTTTGTCCCCCACACCCTTATACATATATCTAAATAGAATCTTATTTTCAAAACGAAGTAAAGCAAAAAAAATGGTTACTGAAAATATTCAGCAGTCGTGTGTCAAAGAATTTAGAATTAAGTATCCCTATTGAATATTAAAAGTGTATCCATGTGTTCCAAGTTATTACATCTAATTTGGAGAAACAGGATCTATCTACTGCAAAAAAGCCAGCAGAAGTCGAACTGTTACAGTCAAGAGCTTCAGAGGTTACTGAAAAGTACGACCTCAATGTTGAGTTAAATTTTCTTAAAAACATGAAAAGGAGAGTCAACTTTGTTTAAAACATGATGGAGGGCATTTTAAATAAGTTCTGTAAATTTAAATTACTTACTTTCAACATGTTTCCAAACTTAAAATTAATTTTCAACTCTTAGGCAATTAGTAATCAACAGCAAGATAAGAAAAACATTTTATTTGTCATCAATTTATTAAGTTAATTTATTCAACTTGAAAATGTCCCATAACGAGCTATAACAAATATTCGATAATACACGCATGGTAATGGCTCCAGAAAGTGTGTCACTCTGTGCGCCAGTAAAAACCCTTTTACCATGCTAGTATCATAGTACATATAATACTATAAATAACAATATGCAGTAAGTAAACACGAACTGTTTACTTTTCTAAATGGTTTCAAAGTCTGCATACTGATGTGAAGTCAGCTCCAGTAAAGTGACAAATTGTCTCACTTTTGTTGATTTATAGATGCATATTTTGGCTAAGGTACAAGTAGGCAATACATTGAATAAATAAAAATGAAACACCACATTTTGGATTATATTTATTCAAAAACCAATAATATAACTTACAAATTAAAAACAACCTCAGTACAATTTAAATAAAAAACAGTTCCAAAAATACGAGCTCACATAGCTCTTGTAACCCTGAATAACCATAGAGTGCAACAAATATAATAATATAAATTTCATACTGTTCAGAGGCATGAATTTTAGAATAATGGAAAATATTCTATATCAAATGTCCATAAACGACTACAAAATGACTTGGAATATAATACATATCGTATAATATTACAATAATAAGATAAAAGTGTATATGCGGTATAAGTATCGATTGTAAACGGGACAAAGCAACGTTACTTCATTTTATTACCTCGTGCTACTCTGAATTTCTTCAAAAGTTGTTTTTATTATCGTCAGTGGAAGGTTAAGCAGAGAAACAAGAGTGCTATTAATTACAATATAGGTACACATAGACCGATTTTAACCGGCCATAATTTTTTTTTGTATTTTTTTTGACAGTTGATTGTTACAGAATATACGACTCGCATGAACATGGCGATTGCAAATATTTGTGCACTGTTCAACCACGTTCTACGATTCGTTCACATCAAAAATAGTTCTATCAAAAACTTCTTAAATGCCACAGCTCAACTGATTTGTTTAATTATTAAAAGAGGCAGGTAACAGAGAACTGCTGCTTTAGAAATTTTGTTCAAATTTTTTTATCAATTTACCAAACCAATCAAACAGCACGAAGATCTTGTCGACATCTACAATGAAAATCGAATTATTATTTAATATTTAGAGTAAATATCAAGCATAGGCTCTCCCTCCTGTCTTTAAAAATTTAAAACGACGCCGAATATCTAAATAAACGACCACCTCTCACCTATAATATAGGGAACAAACACTGTAAACATCTGATATCTCTATTATAGTCTAGCAGAATGCAGAGCTTAGCGATTAAATTCATTGTTATTACCTTACTTCACTAAAAAAAATCTTTGGAAAGAGATAACAATTAATATTACTTTCAAAAATGTATACATTTTTTTCTTTTTCAATCTTAATTCGTTTAATATGACAGGACTAAGACACAGTGAATTTATTCGTTTAATTATTAAATAAAGAGGCGGCGGCGGCGGGCGTCGCGAGCGCGCAAAGAAAAAACATTCCAGCAATGCAGGCGAAAAGAAGGGGTCCCAGGGTTGAACCTTGGGAGGCCCCGTTCGGTGGTCGCGACGACCGTCGTCGCGCGTAATCTGACCCCCCACCTACCGGCCAACGCAAGAATATTGGTGTCAACATCTATCGCGTCCTGTGCCACGTACACATACGCAAGTCGGCGGCGACAACTAGAGATGTGTAAATCATGTGTGATCATTAAAAACGTGATATGTCATCCATCCATACTAAACATTTGTACTTTAAAATGACTATTAATATAAAATGTGTCGAAACCAAGTGTCAGTTTCATAGCACTAAGGGCGGCAGTCCAAAGCAACTAGTTGTTATCAATGCTCCGTCGGGTCGTTTTGTGATCAGCTGCTCTGGACTATAATGGAAAAAATCTCCCACACTGCCAAAAAATATTGTATATTCGAAAAAACATTGATAAAGTAGAATAGAAAAAGCTCACAACCACGTTACATGTAATAATTATGGTCTGAAAGAGTGTGATTGTTCAAGAGCTGACAGGACCTATTTTAAAAACGCCTACATCGATATATTGTTTAAGTAACGATCGGCATAATATAACGGACAAGCGAAGTTTAAAAACAGCTACTAACGCGAGACATGTGTTAAGGACCGTTTCCTTCTTTTCGTTATATTTTCTAATAAACTTAATATCTAAACCTACTACTACGACAAAAAAAGACTGAAAATAATACAATAAACAAAAACTGTTTCGCAGCACCTAATTCATGTCTGCAGATGGAATGATTTAATTCCTCACTCCAATACTGACTGAAAAATACTTATTGCTAGTGAATATTGTTTTGAGATAATATTTAGCGGAAACGTGACGCAACGTAACGGCACGCAACCCTCGTACATATGTTTCATAATATAAATATTCATTTTCATGTAAATATATAATATATGTATACGATACTCAACCGAGAAACAAAATACAATCAGCTTGTTTCTTCAATTTCCTTTTAAGTCATGTATAATATATTATATGGCAAAATTACTGGTATACGAGTATCTAAAAAACACTTGGTACATACACTAAGACTGTGATTGTAAAATCATCAAAAAATCTATCACATTGATAATATATTAAATGTTCAATTTAAAACCGAAATTTTCATACTTTTGATATATATGTATATATATAGTTATCTTACATCCGTCTCTCTCTCGATTCATTTGTTTGTGGGTTATGTCGAAAGCGAAACGGATCGAATCCGATGACGTGAGCAAATGCCATACAAAGTATCACTACAGCCATACTAGTCAAATGTAAAAATAAAACAACACGTGATTACTTGCATATGACAGTGTAAATATTTGGTAAAAAATAAAACAAAACACAAAACTACTACGGTAAAAATAAAGTCGCACTCAATAATAACCATTATTAGAACTATTATTTTCTTGAATTGTGAGATTATTGACATCACATTGAATTTTGAAGAACAAAATCCCCGTGGAGAAACTGTCTGCCATTTGTACCGAACGCATCACAAATTAAAATAAATAAAGTCTTTTCGTAAAAAAAAACAATTTAATATGTACACCCTAAAAACATGACTCCAACAAGAAAAAAAAACTTAACAACTTTGCACTTGCGATATGTGACAACTAAAACAAGTGTATATAACAACATAAAAAAGTGAAGTCACACCATGGTTTGCACATTCGTGGAAGTATAATAATATAAACAAAACCATAAACTTAAAAAAATGAGTTTTTTCGTACTTTCTACCGCAAACTCATAACGAAAAAAATAAAAAATTTACACCTTCATACGTACGAAAAGTTCAGGCATAGCGTGCATACCACATGTGACGTCACGAGACCATCTCGTAGACAGTTTCTCCAAGACGGATGTTAAACAGTGTATATAAGATACAATTATTTAATACATAAACAATCTGCCTTAAAATTCGAGTTGTTTTATTATGTTTTCGTGGATTTTTTGTTTTTATATTTTTTTTGTTTTTTTTTTTCTTCTTATTTATTATGTATACATATAATTTTAAAAACGACTTGTGGGCAGACGCGAAACCGCGCGCTGAAAAACAAGCGAGCGGCGGCGCAGCACACAAAATAACAACGAGAGACTAAGGTCACAACTTATCCTGAAGATACTATTATCACAGGCATGGTTTAACCGTCGGTTAAAAGACGACGGAGTTTCAGGAAAAATAAAAATAGTAAATAATAAAAAAAAAAAATAATAATGATGATTAGAAACTCACGCACGCTCTGTACTCTCAAAATGGAATCGGCAAGTATAGGGCGCCCTCTAAAGGTCGCAAAGTCACTACGACCAACAAAATCACGAAGCTCACTGCTGTTAGGCTTTTTTTGCAATTTTCTTTTTAAATTAGGACTTAACCTACATGGCACTGAAAACGCTAACCAACCTGAGTATGTAAGTATTGAGAGACATAGAGAAAAAAGACGACGCATTCACAAAATTTTCATCCATACGAGAAAAAATAAAAAATATAAAACTAAAATAATATTAATAAAACAACGAAACAACGAAGCAGTTTTTCTTTGAAAAAATTGTGCTACGATCAAAAAGAAAATAAGACGATAAAAGTTGGCACGTTCAGCTTCCAGACATTCAAAATAAACTAAGTTTTAAGCGATCAATTTATACTAATTGACACCGTAAAATAAACGTTTTTTGTTTTTAAATAGTAGGAACCATATTATGCCTGCTGCTAAAAATTTCGAAAAACGATAAAAATAAAATTAATAATATTAAAAAATAATTCACCACTTTTCTAAGTATGCATAAATATATACGTATTTTAAATAATGCTTTGGATAAATTCAGCTAATTCTAAGAAATGCTTTCATTTTGTAATTAATTATTCCAAAATAAATTCATTTTTTTCCTCTCTCTAAAATCATATATAGTTTAAAAAACGAAAAATATAAGACTAAAATGTAAAAAATTAAAAATCAGTTCAGTACTGTGTACAGTGCGAGATCAAAACTACTTGCTTTGGGACTCTACAGGATGTACAGCGTATTCAACACGAGAACATGATGGTTGTTCTTTGCCAGCGTCACGACGTAACCCTCTGAGGTGATTTTCAGCCCACAGCAACGTGAAACCTGGAAACAAAATCACTTACTCAATGCGCTGTCAGCAATCGTTTCAAAAATTAGTTGAAAACTACAGTATGAAATCCATTTCTGTTTTACGGACAACACTACGTTATACAACGCAACAACGGAGGAACTGAATCATCCTCGATATCCCACCATTCTTCTCTTAAAAAATATAAAGCATGGTACCACACGTGCATAAAAAAATATTAAAAGCACAAAAAACACCAGGCGATATATTAGAAGCTTCATTATACTTGCATACATTGTTGCTTTGGTAAACCATTTTCTTTCGTATTAAATTCAATAATGCCCATTATTAGAAACATCATACTATGTTATACTAATATGCAAACGTATTGGTGGCACAGACGCAATTTTTCTATGACTGGTAGTAAAAATGTTGTTTTAATTCAATATTAAAGTTTATTAACATTTAAATCTATAGAGCGAACTTTTTATTATACAATCATATCAGAAATGACTGACACTCATTGTGTAAGTGAACGCGATTTTTCTTTGATTTTTTTTTTGTACTAAATAGCTGTATTGTCTCAGTATATTCACTTTTTAAGTAGCATATTAAACTTTCTAAAAGTTTTGTTAATACTGCGTTTCATCATGTCCAAAAAGTATACTGTTGGTAACCTAAGAGAAAACATGAGTACTAACAAAACACGCTTCCATCACCATTAAAATCTCTAGTTTTTTTTCTGACATAACATATCAAGAGTGTAACATACCATGCGATGAAAAATAAAACAAACGAAAATTAGCTTTGAGACTAATTATAATTGTATAGCTTGCATAACTGACACTTGTATCCTTCTGTCTACTGAAAGGTCTGCCAGCTGTCAGGGTAAAACATTAGACACATGCAGCAAAATTGATAAGGCCATTTTTTCGCCACTCCAGTAACAGCTGTGCGAGGAAAATGTAAACTGTCAGTGAGAACAGACCAAACTTAACAACAGTGGATTTACACCAACAGTCTACACTTGATTTGGGAAAATTTTGAAGCTTTAGTCATTGTAAGTGTCAAAACCTACCATCGTGGTCAAAACAGACTGACACAAGTGACAAATGTAATGTGGATATGACGTATAAGTGACATTTTGGTGTTAGCCTAAATTTTCACCACAATTGTGGCTAAACTCTCAAAAATTTTGACGCAAATGACTATCTTCATCGTTAAGTTTTGTCTGCGACTTTAATTTGAGCTTATGTCGACGTTGATTTACGTCAAAAAGAAAGCAGTCCCAAAACTTGACAAGAAACGCTAACTTTAATTCATTTTATTTTCGATCGTACGATATCTGTGAAACATATTAATTCTTAAGTAATGAAGACAATCATCCATTAAATATTTTCTCAATGTTCATTCCATTAGTTCCTGTTTTTGCTATATTTTAACACGCTTATATTAGCTTCACTTCTAACAGACCATGTAAACAAATCGAGGAAGTCGATTTTAACCTACTTCTAAGTATCTATTATTTGAGACTTTGAAAGGGTGCATAATTTGGATGACAATACAATAATTTGGTACTATCGAGCAGTGGGGGTCCACTCTCTAAATTTTGTCATGTCAGAGAATTTGACTGAAATTGTGCTCTTGACAATAGTGACAAAAGTCGTGTGACGTTTCCCGTTAAAAGCGTGTCTTTTTGTTTTTTTAAACTATTTATTCTTAAACTAATTATTATTATTGAAGAGTCAGATTTTTCCCATGCTTACCTTAACATACGGACATTCAAATTCAGAAATAAGACATCCATCACGTGAAAATACGGCGACGTGAAAACGATTTCCATGGGAATCCCCAATGAGAATGTCTCCAGCATCAGAAATATCAATACCATTCGGAAAGTTCGTTATACTTTCGCAACCTATACGTCTTAAAAAGTGACCTTCATCGCTGAAAACCACCACGTTGTGGCCTTTGAAGTCACAAACGTAGAACTCTTTGCCTAAAAAAGACGTAAACAAGTTAAATAGGTAATAAATACTGCAATTTCTACAGATTATTCAAACCGATTCTAACTCGCAAAGCTCACAAAGTTTCCATCTAATAGTTGTCTAAATTACCAGATTTAGATTTATTAAGTTGTTAGATGATCCTTACAATGCCGCGGTGTTATTTTTTAGTTTCATGTGGATGGCGTACTATTTGTCATTTTAAGTGTCAATTTGATTTGCTTTTTTTTTCTAATTTAAAAATTTTAAACTTGTTATTAGTGATAAAATTATCCACAGTGACAATATAATTCGGTTTGAATACCATGGCACTCGTTACATTAAACTAATAGCTTCACACTTATTTGGCCTTTTCTAATATTCCACTGCGAGAACATTAAGGTTTGTTAATAAATTGTAAATAAATAATAATTAGTTATTAATAATTTAATAATAATTAGCTAGAATACGATCCACGTCACTTTTTACTGTGGGCAATGTTTTTTTGTTAACAATTGTTAGGAAAATTTTGGACTGTTAAATAAGTTTACATTGACACAGATCAGAATTACGAAATTAATTCTTCAACTATGAAATTTAATACTAAAAAAAAATTGTTTCAGGGATTTTTTAACAGTTTTTTTTTTGAGTTCTTCAGAGCCTTCTTAACAACCTACCATCAAGCGTATCCCTTTTTTTTTTTATCACCTGCATAAGTTATCAAATTATTGTGAAATTACGTTCCAGTTCATTCAATTACACATTTGAGTTTGAGTTGATTTTACTCAAAATGAAGTAATAAATTTGTTAGGTCATGAAAGCAGAAAACAAAAAATTAAATTTTACTGCATTGTCAATGAAAATACAAATTTCCACATTCGTGACTTAGGTCAACAAGATCTTTCAAAAGTTAATAATATAATAATTTTCAACTGCTCAAAATTGACGGTGGCAAAAATGCAAACTCAGATTCATGATATTTTTTAAATTCTACTATGAATCAAGGAATAGAAGAATCATGTTTCGGCTACCTATCGGGACAAGTCAAATTCGTCATTTACGCTGAATCAGCCTGTACTGAAGAAAAAGATAAAACTAAAATCCGGTTACAGAAGCTGAATCAAATATTTTATTGCTTTTAATTTTTTAACACAGCGTTAAAACCATTAAGTACCATGTGACCGACTCTACGCCAATGAGACGTCGCTAAACACCTCATAATTAACTTAATCTCGGTTAAAATATTATACAAACAAAGCGTTTAAATTCTAAAAGGTATATGAAATGGTTTTTAATATACGTAGATAGGCATATTCTTTAAATCTTTATTATCAACAGTTTCCCAAATTCTTCAAAGGGAGTAGCGAAACATTAGGGATGATGTCATATTATTGGACAAAGTTTCCATCATATAAGCGTGCAACTGACAAATCGATTAAAGAGTATGCAGGATGGTATGGGTTGCGCAGAACTGGTTTGCGCACTTTTCGTACTTTTTATGCAAATTCTGTGTATAGACGATGTCAAATTTTGTATAAAAATTTTCATATTAAATTATCATAAACATTTGTTATCGTATCAAACGGCTCTTATTTAACTTTGATTTCAACATAAAATTGAGTAGGGAGGAATTTAAATCTGTCCGAATTAGTGACAATTTAAGTTTGTATAAGTTTTCTCGGTCCAGTAATAGAAAGAACTTTTTTGAAATTCGTAATTAAATTGTTATTAAAAGAATGTTTCCCTGATTCCTCAGTACCCCCCCCCCCTTGTTTGGTGAGAGAATGAATCAATGAGAAAAAAAAACCGAAGCCACTAAACGGGACTGCTTTGCTACACCACTGCGTTTTATTTTTGATTAGATGATCGCTGGTTCTGTTTGCAGCCGAGGAAAAATTTTGTCTGTTATTAAAATAAAACAAATAATAATTTCTAAATCTGTGTTAAATATTTCAGCCCGGCGTTTTGCTACAATTACAGACTACAAAAACTGAAAAAGTCAACAGCTTGAAACATTTTTGTGGCGATGCGTTGGGTCAAGTTATCCTTAATCGGACTGAATTGTAATAAGCTCAACAACACTTTAATAAAAGCCACATACCGTGAATAGCAATATCGGAAGGCTCCCTCATGAAATCACTGCAATCGAACCAACGAATCAACTCCCCGCTTTCGCTGATGATGAATACTGTTGGACTGACGCTGTCGACAGCAACTATCTCCCCGTGCCCTGTGACTGCAAGTCCCGCCACAATATCGATGTATCTTATGGCAATTTTCTTGAGAAAATGGCCGTTTTTCGTGAAAATCTGCATACGAGAACGCTCGTTTCCGCGATCGCATACCACGTACTTTCCAGTAGTACGCATTACGGCAACCTTCCTCGGATACCACAGCTGTCCTTCGTCCTTGCCCGAGGTGCCAAACTGGAACTTGAAGGCTCCAGACTTATCGAAAACCTGCAACGTGAGACAATCGTACTAACACGTGAACTTGAATGCTAAATTCGCCATATATCCAGGAACTTCGTCCTAAAATGCGATTTTTAAATTCCAAATGCTTCGGTTTTGCAAGGCTACAATAACAACAAAAGTTGTACAAAACAAAATCTAAAATTTGAATAGACAAATCGTACTATTTCAAACCATCCAAAAGCAAACACCGATACAGTTTGTATTTTAACGATTTATTATACTACTGCATTGTTACAACGCGATTCTGTTTGTGTTCAGTGATTTAGCTTCCTTATCTACGACAACTTCAATTTATGATTGCAAATTAATTGAACTTTATTGAAACACAGCACTAACATTTAGAAAATTGTTTGACATTGCATACGCTATCGATTCACGAGTTCCGATCTGAAGATCTGACGAATTTCCTTACTTGTATGCGGTGGTTGTTGGTGTCCGCGACAATGATGTCCTCTTCCAACCCGAGACAAAATCCGTGGGGCGAATTGAACTGTCCTTTGTTGGGGCCCAACTGGCCGAACTTGCTGCGAATCTGCATTGGGCTAACCTTGTTCGAACGGGTATGGGTACCGTTGGGGTTTGTGGTGGGAGCTGGAAGAATATTGGACATGGGATCAGACATTATGTCGTCGGGTGTAGAGAGTAAAGGAGACGTGGAGGAGGATACGCCACCGAACCCGTTGATTAAGGTGTTGGTCATGTTGAGAGATGAGGGAGATGTAGAGCGGACTATCATCGTCCCGTTGGTAATCGGATTATCTACATCGAAAAGAGATACTTTAGAGTTTGAACACAAAGTACATTAGCGACAAGTTTAAGGCGCTTATCGAAACGTACGGAAAAAAGGGTAAATGCTAAAAGCTTGTTCCTGATGCAGCTGTGTGGATGTTTCTGCTGATAAGTTTGCAACACAGTGCTCACAGTATGGGGCGCCGTTTAAAAATAAAGTAATAACTTTTCGCATAGATCGTAAACACCCATATTATTGTACACGAACAGTTTTGTCCACTTTCAACACAATACATATACCTACAAGTGAATTTATTACTGTAACAGATCAAAATATGGTGAAATACCCACTGAATTATTACTCCAACGTTGCATACAAACATACAATGACGTCGACATATTTTAACTTTGCTGATCAAGAAAATAAACGTAGCAAGCTTCATTAGAAAACATAATTTAAAAATAAAAAGGATTTTTTTTAGCTAAAAATATACAGTGTAGTCATTGGGATTCCCATGTTAAATTTTAAACTCCACGTTAACTTTTGTTAGGGTGAAAACCCCGATATGATTTTTGCGGTGGAAATAGCCTTAGGGTCCTACTTTAATTTCCGTTACTACTTTTTACAGTAAATAGGCATCTGGTTAGAAATTGAACACTTAGCTGTTTCAACGTGTATGCAAATTCCACCCCCGAAGGGGACGAAAATTAGTGAGTGGCGTAAATTTCGGAGCAATAAACGATATCTAAGATGAAAACGCAACACGGATTCATACACCGCAAGTGCACAAGTGTCGTATTTCAAAAAATTGTAAAAAAAAATACAATTACAAATTTTGGAGACGCCGTCATCCCATTGGTGGTGGGGATGATTAGCCAACTTTTGGTTTGGTTAGTTAGGTTTACCATCTATGCGATATTCTTAATATACGTCTAAAATTTGATAACAATTGGACGATCATTCTGCCTAATAAAAATTGATACAGAAGACAGACAGACAAGACAGAAACGGGAAATCACATTTTTTGTCCTCTAGGGGTCATGAAACGTCGAGAAAATATGAAAGTAACAAGTCGCCCGACGAACTCGACTACTATACTTCCTTAGCTTACATTCAAGAATTTCATATAAATGTATGTATGTATGTGTGTAATATCCTCGGTTGGTAATGAAAATGACACAACTGAAAAACATGAGAAATATTTTTTTTTGTATTGGTTTCGCAAATGTCGCTATCTTCTCTCTCCATCTAGTCGAGTGATTCCCTGCACGCCGCCCTGCGCATGTCCAAACTCCACACACTTGTTGTGTCTGTGAGTTTGTTTACATGTATTATTTCGCCGCGATGTACGTCGAATAATAATAATAAAAAAAGCAGGGCGGATTCACAAAACTGAAGTATGGGAGTACATACTATAATATTCTATGAAATTTAATATATGTTTATTACAATACTTCCTTGGCTTTGGCTCGGGAAGTAAAAACTGGTCCACGGTTATTTATACCGAACCTTCGTCGCCTTTGAAGTAAAGGCGAGCAAATACAGCTTCTTGGGAGTTATAAAATTGAATTTTACGATTTTAATTTTTGATTTTTTTAAGCCTGCTATGCGTATATTTCAAGTGAATTTTTCCATTACAAAATTTTGTGATGACGTCACCAACAAGTTAACAAAGATACGTATATCAATTTGAATAAGTGCAGTGTAATATTAATTAAGAGCCGTTTTACACACCACAGAATTACTCCGCAAATTACTACCAAAATTTATGTTAAAAATTTTGCAAGAAAAATATTTGCGCAAACGTTCAAAAGCTAAACTCGTGGTACTTTTTTGAACGTCTGCGCAATTTCTTGGGCACTTTCCCTTCAAATATAAATTTTTTCTTGCAAAATTTCTAACATAAAGTACTGTGACGCGTAAAACGCGAAACAGATGACCCATGGTGGCGCCGAGGACGCACAACACATGGCGCATTTAGAAATGTAATGTTTCCCGAGTCGATAAGTTAAGAGTAGTGGTATTATTGACCCTTATACTGTAAGCAAAATGAGTAGACATTATATAAATTCCAATGATACAGAGTGAGACAAAATCGCGCAGGCGAAGTAAGATTTTCTGCGGCGCCAAGTTAAAAATAACCAATGAGCGAGAAATTAAGCATGTGTTTCTGGCAAAAGCGGTTTATCACAGGCATTGGCTTTGCTGTTGCTACAAGCAGACCGGGTACTATTTCCTACGTGGTTCTGAAGATGCGTGCGCATGGAAAGTCACTATGGAAGGTTTACGATTTTACAGGAAAAGAGTCTATTGGTATTTAGTGTAATTTTTAAGGACAATTCGGTGTCAAAAAAAGTGTTAGAGATATTTGTTTAATGATTACAAAATAAATTTTGGTAGCAATATGTGACATCAGTTTGATTGAATTTTACAAGTACAGAAAGTACTCCAAAAACTATAAGGTTATATGGCCATCATAAAAGTCTCCCATTGTGTCGAAGTTAAGTTGTTTACAATAGAAAAGGTTTTAAGGTCGTAAATAACGTGTCCACTGCAGCTCGACCGGCTGCTGTCGGTTCATTCAGGGGTGGCTTTCACTAAATTTCTAACTACCTACTACTACTACATGGAGCCACAAAGTGTTCCGAAATAACCAGTCGCTTTGAAAGCCAGCCCTGTTATAGCTGCTTTCAAAATAAGAGAGTAAAACTACCTGGAAAACTGACTTGACTTTGAGGGTATTCCAACCTTAAGCGGTAGGTGGGCCAATAGGAATGATTGACAGCTTGTACCAGGTATAATGGATCTAAACCGCTTGAGATTATAATATCCTTAAGTCAAGTAGGGTCGCTGCAGGGGGTTCTGTTCTTTTATTTTGAAAGCAGCTATAAATGTGAGCAAGAAATATTTAGAAGACGACCGGTAAGCTTAGTGCGAACCACACAAAGGGGGTATTTATTTGCGGTCAACTACTTTTACAACGGTCATATAACCTTATAGCTTTTGGGCTACTATATTTAATTTTAGGTTAAATATGTTTTTTTTTTACATTTATCGAAGTTTTTTGATAAGTAGAGGCGACACCCTGCTTTCGTAAAATATTTGCGAGTCGGCAATTCTTAAGTGTACATCATTTAACACAGGGGCACCAAAAAGCAAGCAAAACAAATGATAATTTAAAAACGTATGCACTTTGCCTGACTAGAATATTAATAAATACTCCCCCTGGCCTAAAATAAGTGCCCGATTTCTAAAAAATTCATTTTTTTTTAATAAAAGGAAAAATGTATTTTTTAACGAAAAATTATTATTATTATTACAACAAATATAATACCTAATAATAAAAATAAATAAGTATATAGTTAAAATTTTGGGTTGTATTTTCAGTTTGTTCTCTTTATCTATCATTTTAATAATAACTAGTACGAGTATGGTTTGAGTACAAGTGAGCGAAGCGAACGAGTAACTTTAAAACCATACGAGTTGTGAAAAGACTTTTCTATCGAGGCGCGTATACAATTTTGTCGCATTTCATAACCAGATATTATTTTCGTTAATAATAATTTTAAACAAAAGTCAACTGCGAATACAGAATACTTAGTAACGCTCTTCAAGCGGGACTTGTTTTTTTATATACAACAACAGTCAAACAAATTTAGAATAAAACAAAAATGGAATTGCAAGATTCTACGAATATTCCGGTGGGTGTGGATATCATGACTACTGCCCATGAAGCTTGTATGAACCTGCTTCCTGTCGAGTCGAAAGAAAAAATACGAGAAGACGTATAGTGTATTTTGGCACTGGAAAAACTCAAGAAACTTGATGAAAACGTAATGCTGGCGTATTTTTATGAAAAGGTAAGGCATTTGACATAAGTGATCATGTTACTGCAAATTATTATTTTTTCTAGTGAGATCGAGAGGTTTGACCTTTTCTAATTTAAATAATTGTATTTTCAAAATATATAATGGAAGTATGTGAAACAAAAATTATATTGTGTCATTTGTTTAATGAATTATTGCGATTTTAATTATTATTATTATTAAGTAAGTTGGTCTACAGACACTGAGGCTCAATTACAGACCAACACAATTAGGTGAGAGATGGACTAACTCCCGATACAGTAGCTATAACTACTACTTGGCCCAATGGGCGGAGTTAGAAGAAAATTTTAAAGAATAAAGATTTAATTAGATAAATAAATCAAAGTCCTTATCACATTGGTTATATTTCGAACACATTTCATAAATTGGCGCGTGTTTCTCAACATCAATGCAGTGAGTCGGATTATAAAAACAGAGTTGGGTACGAAAAGACAGTCTTGGTACAGCACAACAGAGTTTGTTAAGGAAAAAGGAGCAATCAGTTTGAGAATGAAGTAATTTTTAAAAAAATATCAATGAAGAATTTACACGTCTGGTATTTAAATTTTTTAAGGCAATTTAATTTCCCATTTTTAAAAATTGGCGTTGCAACAAGACAGTTTCCAGATGTCAGGGAATGTGGTGGTTTTTAAGATTAAATTAAATATAACCGTTAGAGGTTGGGTTAGCACAGAGGCACAATCTGACACCAGAAAAGCGGGAATGTTCTCATATCCAGACACTAGATTTGGTTTAATTTTGTTCAAGGCGCTTAAGACGTCACTTTCAAAGATAGTCAATAAGTTGATCGTCAAGTTGGACAAGTAATCAAAAGAAATATTCATGTTAACCATTTTGCTATCATTGTAATTATTGCTAAAGTGATCCGCAAAGGCATTGACAATTTGGATCGGGTTTGTTAGAAGGAATTCCATTACGTTTTTTTAAGTTATTAACATAAGACTAGAATTTTTTGGACTCCGATATTATTGAGGTCTGTACGTCAAGCAAATAGTTCTTGTATGCATTTCTAACTTCCCACTTAAGTTCGTATTGAATATTTTTTAAATCTTGGTATGTTTCTGCATTATTGCTAGATCTCAGTTTGCGTAGTAGACGCCTTTTATCTTTCAGTTTGTTAATGATTGAATATGTGTACCAGG